CGTGCTCCTCGCGTCGTAACCGCCCGCGTGGTCTCGCTCGCCGCTCTCCTCGACGTGGTAGCCACGTCCTCGAGCGATTGCATGGCTTCGCGAGCTTTCGCGCTCGGTTTCAACGCGCGGCTCGGTCGTCTCGGCGAAGGTGGTTGGTCGGCCACCTCGACCACGATTTGGGGCTGCGCCTCCGCCGCCATCTTGCAGTCCCTCGGCAGTGCCGCCCGACTTTCACAAAAGCTTCCTGGTCTCGATCGCCTCTCGCCGATGAACCTCTCCCTTATTTTTCGAATGCTCGTTCGTCCAGTCGCAGGAGGGCTGGTGATCGTGCAGTGCACACTGTGCACTCCCTTGCGCGTGCTTGTTCGACGTCGTTAGAGCGGAGGCAAGACTAGCAGGGTCCGGAGCAATTACACGGAAATACACATTGCAGTTGAATTGCAGCTGCAACGCCCCACATAAATCAATGCAACTGAAGGCTTCCAAAACCCCTGCAATTCAACCTGGCCCTCTGCAACATGGATCCATTATTGCAGACATTGCAGAATAGTGGGTCCTTCTTAGCAGGCGATAGTGATTAAAAGAGGTAAATGGTGCAGCGAGAAAGAGGGAAGAAGTAGGGGGCTTGTACGAGTTAAAGGCAAACCGATTTGATCCGGATGTAGTTAGCGTGCTAAGGCCCTATAGGCCCAGTGCCTCCGGGCGAAATAAATTCCATCCATCCATCCATCCGATAGTGATTAATAGTAATTTGTATGGTGAACACTAACATGAAGCGGTAAGGGCATCGGCAGAACTCCCACCGCCCTAATACCAGTCAATTCGCAGCTCAAGCTCTGACGAGCTCGGCATTCTGGCCTACCTGCCACCATAATGGCTACAGAAGCATCTGCTGCCGTCGCCGCGGTTCCTACACGTACTGAAGAAGACAGGGCCTTTCTCTTCAAGCGATTTCCCGGCTACCTATTCACTGAACGCAAGGGGGCAGCGTGGTCGTGGGTATGGAAATTCGGGTATGATATTTCACGCGACGGCAAAGACCGTGCATGGGTATGCCTTCGATGTATCCAACAACGCAACCGGAAGCCCGCCGCCTTCTGCCGTCAAGCTCCAACGTGAGAGCAGCGATTCGAGATCTATCGCCACCTTCTTCAATCTCAATGCGAACACCGCCGAAGATCAGAGGATGGCCAACCACTTGATCAGCGTGTTCGATAGAGCTGAGTTTCAACGAAGGATTGTAAGATGGCTCATCAGCGCCAATCTTCCTTTCCGCACAGCTGAACACCCTTATCTTCGCGATGTCTCTCCTACCTCAACCCCTCTGTCGACGTTCAAAAAGCCAACCTCTCCGAGAAGACTGTTCACGCCCTCGCGTACGAGAGGTTGAGCGGCATAAGGATGCTAAAGCGGTGATACACCTCAAAACCACACACACCACCAACGCTGGTCACGTGCCACGCTCGTTGTGATGTCAATGCAGCATGAGAGGAGATGACTCAGGAAACAACTTTCAATGCCACGGATCCTACGATCGTGTTGTCGATACGCCTTCGCGCGTGGCCCTCTGGCCAGTGGGTCGCGGTCACAGTGACCGCGAAAAGGAGTCACTTCTGCAAGTGTAGAAAAAGAATAGAATTGCCTCTCTGCCTCCTAACTCCTGAGAGGGGCCGAAGCCTCCGATTAAATACAAGGACGCCCCCGAAGGGGGCGGAAGAACGTAACGAAAAAGCGGAAAATCAAAATTCCTGGTCCCCTGGTCTTCTGGTCACCTGACACGGAGGTCCGCGCCCCAGTTCAATGCGGTGGTTAAGACGCTCCAGGAGAGCCCCGGGCTGGTTCATCTAGTCTTCGATGGATGGACTTCACGCAACCGCCTCTCTCTCTACGGCGTGAGCGCAGTCTTCCGAGACGAAGAGGGCACGCCTCACAAGATTGTGCTCGGTCTGCCAGAGATGAGTGACCGGCATACGGATGAGAACATCGCGGAGGCCATCCTCGATGTTATTAGAAACTATGGTAACTATTGAAAAGAAGATTGGCTACTTCACTGTCGACAACGCTACAAATAACGACGCCGCGTTGAAAATAATCGGTGAGAAGCTCGGCTTCCAGTGGAAAGAGAGGAGAGTTCGATGCTTCGGCCACATCATCAACCTAGTAGTTAGAGCACTACTCTTTGGTGTAGAACAATACTGTCAAGACACACGGACACATGGAAGATGACTGATGATAGATAGGGTTAGGGATTTGTATGGAAATTTGGACCCACTTCTCCCATTTTGGGCGAGGTTATCGCCCCACAACGGGGCCCACAGTTGGGCCCCACCAATTTCAACATGTTGCATCCATTTCAACGAGTGCCTTCCGTGGATCAATTCAATGTGGCTTCGCTTACGTAAGGTGCAATTACACTGCAACGGGCTGGTGACATTGATGGGAGTGTAATTGATCCGGACCCTGGTCCCTCTTGTTGGCGATAGAGATTTCCAGGGCGACTGCGTGTCTCGGATCGCCCTTCTTTCCACGCCCACTGCGGCCGCGCTGCAGATTGCGCGTCGGTGCACGTGGTGTGGCTAGATAGGGCTTTGCGAGAGCTTTCGATCAACGCTAGCTTTGAGCCTTTTGGGCCGAAATTCAAGGACGTTCTTTTCTTCTCGCCCGTATAAATACCCCAAATAGGATAACGTGTATGATAAGCGAATGTCACAGATAAGCGAATGTCACAAAAATCGTTACCTCCACAACAAAATCCAAGATGATATTCTCAAAACGAACCTAAATCATTGATACTACTCGGAATCGTCTTCCTCAGGCAGTTCTGTAACTCCTTGACAGGTGCGGGCATTATGGCCAGGCTCGCCACATCTGCCACAACGCCGCGCGCGTGTCTCAGTCCTCGGCTTCCGACCACTCCCCGCCTGTGTTTCCTCCCTTATCTGCATCTCAACATCTTTCTGGGCTTGCAAATCCTGTCCATCCTGCACAGTAAGCGATCCTCCTTGCCGTAGTCGCTTTTTTTTTGCCCTCCGGCGCTTGCTTAGTGCCTCATTCGCCGCTCGTAAGTCCCGTATCTCCGCTTGCATCAACGCCATCTTATGCATTATCTTTGACGTGCCCTTTGCAAACTGATCAACTGCAGCTAAAAGCGACGTTGGAGAGCTATTTTGATGCTGGGCAATCCGGGTCTTGATAAGGGTGGTCTGCGAAGAGGCTTCGATTGGGTTGTTCGGCGTCTTGGAAACCCACGCGTAGGCACTGCCTGGCCGTGAGTTCGGGGGTGTTGGCGTCTTAAGACGGATGTCGAGCTGGGAGATCACCTCCTCGGGATAAAAAGGAACAAGCCCAGCACCTCGAAAACCTCCCCGAATGTTGTCGTACGTCATCGTTGCCTGGTGAGCTGCGAGGAATGCAGGAAAGAAGTCCTCCTTAGTAATGTGGGTTATGCTTGCCCGCATCATCTCCTCGATCTGCTTGCCGTATGCCGCCTTCAGCGGGCTGAAACACCCAACATCGGCTGGCTGGAGCTTGTGGGATGAATGGGGAGGCATGCAGAGGGTGATGATGTTGTTCTCCTTGCAGTAAAGCTCGAAGTCAGGCGAGTGGTGGCTGCCATGGCCGTCGAGGATGAGGAGGCGATGAACCCCAGTTGTTCGAGCTTTGGTGTGCTTGTCGAAGTGCTTAATCCAATCCAGACCAAGCTCATTGGTAGTCCAACCATTTGCGGACGTAGAAATCATCCAGTCCTTAGGCAATGGGCTGTTCTCGTACCAAGAAGAGAGGTGGTAGCTGCCCTCGACGATGATGAATGGTGGGATTGCCCAGCCTAGGGCATTGATACCCTGGATCACAGTTGACCATTTGCGGTTTCCTGGCTGCCTTGTCTTCCGTCTGCCACGCCGTTCAGAGCCCGTGACAACCAGTATAGTCGAGATGACGCCCATCAGAAACCCAATCTCGTCAAAGTTGTAGATGTCAGCCACCTGGATACCGTACTTCGCGATTGTGTTTTGCACAAGCGCGAACCAGCCACGAATAAGATGTGGATCCTCGCATAGAGCTCTCTGGTAGTCGTATTTCCGATTGAAACGCATGGTGAGGTCTGGTTGCCGCTTGACGAAGTTGGACGCCCAACGCGTCCCGACGCGTCCCGCGTCGCGTTCGGCAAGCAGTCGGTTAGCCATATCTTCCACACCACACAAGCGAGGAGGAAATCCTGAACAACAATCGACTCTTCCAAATCGGTCAACTTCCGCGAGTTGGCTGGAATATCGTGTCGTGGTTGCATACCGCGTCGCCGGCGGCTTAGCTTCTCGTGATCCACATTGTAGATCTTACCAGCGGCTCGAGCGCTTAGCTTTGTGTCATTTTGCATTGCCTGGAGGGCTAATTGCACGTGGACCTCGTCGTTTCTTTGATGCATGCTGCGTTGTGAAGGAAGATGGGGAAAAGGATAGGAGACATGGCAGGGTGGTTCCGTGTGACATTCGCTTATCTGTGACATTCGCTTATCATACACGTTATAATTAGAGACGATTATTTAGAAGATGGACTTCGTGTTTTTACTTCCGCAGAATCATCATCTGGAGGGCTGGCTAACACCGAAGCCCCCGCATTAGTTCCTATCTGGGCTGCTAGTAATATTCCAGCCCATGTCGAGCATTAGCTGCTCCACCTCTAACGAGGTTGGAGCCATGCTATTAGAGCGAGCACTATCGGGCAAGCCCTCCCATAGCCACCATGCCGCCAATGAACAATCCTGGAGGCCGATGGTGGTAGACTGATCTCGTTCACCCAGGGGCACGGCGTCTTTGTTCAGCTGGAGCACCAAACAATGAGACAGGCTTGTATAAAGCCGTGCTACCGATGTGGTAGGGAGCTGCTGGGCAGTTTTCTCCAGATGTTCTGGTATGGCTCTTACTTGTAAGGTAGTTTCGACTGTCTCGTGAGGTGGTAAGATATCCTTCCTAATGGCCTAATAGCCACAAGAAATGTCAATGCTGATAATAGATAGAGCGTTGAGTGCGGTGACCGACTTACATCTACAATCTCTGCAACAGCGTGGCAGATCATAATGAATTGGTTGTTGTGAAATCCCAATCGCAAGTTGGTCAAGATCGGGTCCGTTAACACAATATCGAGTGTTCGGGTTGCTACTTTAGCCGCCCTAGAATAGACGGCCAGAGATTGCGGTGATGTCGTACCGGCATTTAATGTTGCTAATTCACGCCTCGCCTGAGCGTTAAGCACAAGGATCCCGTGGTCCATGTAAAAGGCCAACAACGGCAAGTAGGCGCTCGAAGGCGACGCATCGGGCGCGCACCGTACACCGCGAACGTGTTCCAAGGTTTCGAGCCATCGCGTATGCCAGCTAGAGACGGACAACTGTGTCGTATCCCTATCTCTCCATTCCTCAAGCGCATTGAGCTATTGCGAGTTCATTTTACCCAATTAGTAGCTGAGCGACGCTTTACGCTATCTTGCTAGCGAACAGCTTGAAGAAGACGGACGTACCAGGATGCCTCTCGTCTCCACGATCCCGCTGACAATGCGGTCGTAGGGCATAGGGGAGTATGTAGGGTGCTTGCGAGCCGTAAAGTAATCGCTCGCTCAGAGTGAGCCGTTGAAAGTCAGCTTAGTTCATTTAAGCTACTTATAGTTGCAAACGTTTCTATATTTGAACAGCTTAGTAGACGAGCCGTCAACCAACCGCTCGTATATAAAACGTTTCCCAAAGACACAGCCGCTCTCTGCGTTAAGCCATTATCGTACCACTAATTGTAAACTAACCATCAATGTCCAACTCATTGGTATCAAGCTGTATATGGGTGTGAGCCGCGTTTTTTGACAAGTGGCTTGTGACAATTGAGCCAGCAGTTACCGACTTATGAGCCATGAGCCGTTTAGTTCCATGAGCCGCTTGTCTCCATGAGCGGCTCCGAGCTCTGAGCCGACAGTGATCGGTTTGAGTCGTGAGCCGCTCTTGCTATAAGCGGTTGCGATAAGGTAAGCCGGTGGGGGACGGCCTTAGCGTCTATCCATGACGGGGATCGGCGTGGCGGCAACTCCTTCCTACTTTCGGTGCGTCGAATTGACTGTTGTGTGGTAAGTGATGCCCCCCTCTCCGAGCCAGCGATATCCCAATCAACCCCACTATACCGACCAATTTCCTCTCCCACTCTCTTGCGGTCTCGCCCACTTCAACATCCCTCCAGTCGTGGTCGTAGTCACTGCGTGGACACCAACGGGTATCAAAACCTGCCCATCGAGAGACGGATCGCATCTCACATCGCCGTGCCGAGCTTGGCGACAGTCACGATGCCCCGCGCACTCCAATACCGAACCAAACTGGCGATCATTCGGCGCCGTTTACAGAGGCGGGTCGACAAGCGACAGCGAGAGAGGTCTGAATCGCCCAACCAACCCGGTAACGATACCCCATCCCAGCGACCGCGTCACGCAGACCCGGTAGAGGTAGACGACGATGCTGCGTTCGCCGATATTCCCTCCGGTTCCGGAGATTTCGACCAAGGTAGCGACTTCGGCGACGATTGGGAACCGCAGGCTGTAACCGTAAGTTTACTCAGTACCTTTCGCCCTGATGACACAGAACTTACTGACACACTTTTCCCAGGACTTTGACGAGAACGAACTTGCCCATGCGCTAGTCGATGCTGCAATCGAAGAAGACCACGTCGTTTATCCCGACCCCGACCCCGACACTGGCGAATACCAGGTTGCCGACGATGCGCCACTGCAGTCGGAGTTACGGGCATTGGCCGAGTACCAATACATTCGCTGATACCGTCGAGGATCAGGACGACGAGGTCGATGCCACAGATGCCGAGGATGTTGCCGACGAGATCGCCGTTGCTACGCCTTGGCAGGCGTATCACCAGTATGGCGAGGATATGACGGATCCTTTCGCGGCGTCGGAGTCGATCAAGCAACCCCGCAAGATCCATGGACTGTCTGACTTCGCCCTTGGCTGGGGCCTCTACTGCATCGTGAATGGCGTGTCACGAAAGCAGTATGCCACACAGCTAGAGCTCTTCAAATTGCTCGGTCGTGACGCCGACAAAGTTAACCGGCTACCCGACAGTCTCGATACGCTCAAGCAGTCACGTCCGCGAATCGTTGCCGCACATCGATATGAGAACCGTCAAGGACCTGCCACTCAACCCCAAGAAGCTCTCCTCGTCACGCCAGGTGACCGCCATGACGACGGGTGAGAACCCTACACAGGACCTCTTCTTCCTAAACCCTGTAGATTTCCTCAGCCGTATCGAAGGTTCGCAACTGGCCAAGGGCATGCACTATGGTCTAGCCGACCTCGTCGATAGCCCTATCGAAGCCTGGCATTCCATGCAGTGGGCTGGTTCAGTGCGTACCACTAGCGGCGTCTTTGTCTGGTACCCGCCGCTTCCAGCCAGCCCAAAGGACCCGATCTTCCCCGGCGACATCGTCGACTTCGAGTGCACATTCCGCGACTGCAGGCACTGTCACAGTGCAGATGACACGTCAAAGCCTCACGTCGGCCCAAGTTATGGCAGTATACCGCGACCGTCGCGACAGCACTCGAGACCTCGGTTTGATAGCCGCATCAAACAACAACGTCGACCAGGCTCAGCAGGGTGACGTTGTACTCGTTATCGCGCGGGTACTCCGTGGCCATGTTATCAAGAATATCGTTGCGAACCAGGCGATCGAGATTAAGACCAACCCCAACACGCGACAACGTTACAGACAACGAATGGGTATTGAGCTATAGCCCGATGGAGCTCGTTCCATCGGCCAAGATTCGCGGTCGTCGCACCGATATCGGTTTCGATTATGCATTTGGTAGCCAGGTGGAGTTCGACGACGATCCACGCGAGCGCATCGGCATGCCACTCATCCGCCGCATCTTCATGAAGGAACAGTGTGCTTTTATGCCACCATGCTTGGTCCCACCTGTCCCCGGCGCTTGAGGTTATACAGTTCGGTCGAGAGGTGCTCATCAACAAGTTCGCTATTGGCCCTGAACAGGGTCAAGTTCGGTCCCTCCCATGCTTGGACTTCAATGACGGCTTCGGCTTGTACCGCACGATGACGAAGTCGATTATGGGTTGTTATCTGCAGATTGCAGCGATGCCGAGAAGCGAGCATACACGGCAGATCAACGTCCTGCCGGTTACCCTAGGTCCGCACGGCGCCAACTTCGACGATGTGATGAAGGCCCTCGCCCCACTCAAGGCCCTCGACCAGGGCATCACCGTTGCCATCAATGGTGTGGAGACCCTGTTGTGTGCCCCGATCATCGCCTTCACTGGCGATATGCCGCAGCAACAGGATAACTCGGGTTGTCTCAGTGTGGCGGCTAACCTGGGCTGCCGTAACTGTAGGATCCCTGTCGAGAAGCGCGATAAACTGGACTTCAACATACTCGACCAGACACGGGCCCATGTCGAGATGCTCCGACTACGTCGTGCAATGGACGACCTGCCTCAGAAGTACCGCAAGCAGGCGTTTTCGACGAAGCACGGTATATCGCTTGACCGTCCTGCAGTTCAACAGGTTGCGCCAGCACTAGATCTCATCAGCGGTCGTCCCGGCGACGCAGCACATTCCGAGTTCAACGGTATCACGAAGATGACTCACCAGATCCTGATTGATGCTGCGTTGAAGCCTGATGCCGTCGTCGCATACTCGAAGATCCTCCGCCAGATGCCTTTCCCCCCTGGTTGGGCCCGAATCCAGTCCCCATATAACGTACTCAACTACAGTCTGCAGGAGCATGCGCGATGGTCGGTTCTGATGACCATCATCTCGCTATTGTGGTTGACGGAGGCAGATCTGAAGCGCCCTTTCGTTCAGGCAGTACGGGGTGTTTTCTCGCAAACCGAGCTCACCCGCGGGCAAGCCACCAACACTGATGTGGCTATAGCATCCAAGGTCGAGCACAAGAGCGCTGTCGAGATACTGACACTGGTGCTAGCGGCAATCGTCAAGACCAACGAGATCCTATCAGCACCTGAACTCGATGCGAACGACCGCGACCCTGCGACTATCATGGACACGATCCGAATTAGCCGCCGTATGTTCCAATTGATATGCGAGGCGGCGTCGCGCTCTACTAACCTTGCACCTGCGCTGCCGCTGCTGCCGCTGCCCGGCGTCGTGGCTCACTTGCATCATCCCGCGCCGGATCCGTTGCCCCCTCCGCGCCTCGTCCCGCAGCTGGCAACACTATCGAGCCGGTCATCGAAGAGGACGAGGAAGCTGTCGACGATGATATCAACATCGGCCAGCTTACCGTCGCCCAGAAGGCCAGCAAATATCGACAGTGGGCGCAGCGTCCGAACGTACATGTTGGCCTGCACTATGTCGACGTGTTCCGTCAATATGGCTTGGTGTCGTTGATGATGGTTCTCCCTGGCGAGTTGAAACACAAGTAAGTGATAGTGCCCCCTGAAAAGTCTAATAGTGGGCCACAGGTCGATGAAGTACCTCCTTTCCGACCGACCCTTGCTCGAGTCTCCGACACCCACCCCCCGCACGCCAAGGAGAAGTACCATGGGAAGGAGTACCTCCCATACTCTCGTCGCGACAGGGCTGATACGTGACCAGGCTCTGGAAGAATATCGTGCTCACGATGAACCATCGTAACCCCGAGAAGGACTGCCTTGCGTACGAGAATATGCTGCAGACGGTTCGACTGACACTACTCGACGGCTTTCGCTATGACGACCCCGATATCACCACCGACATCAAGAATCTGGCATCGGCAGCCCCTTCTCTGTTCTCATCATTGCTACCGCGCGAAGGTCTCCAGAACGATGACGACGATTCTTCGATTTGGGACATCATTGTTGGTGACGACCTGCATCCCAATGCAAGTGTATTGGTCTTGGTGAAGGCTCGTGTATACCAGGACATGGGCTTTCCCGTTCGTGAGGGCGCATTGGTGCCAACCTTCCTTTGGATGCTTCGCGATGCATACCGGGTGGACTATGACAAGAACATTATTGTGACGACGAACTGGCATATCAGGTGGTGGAAGAAGGTTTCGTTTGGAGACGGACCCATCAGCACCAAACCCAAAGGTGTCCAGCGCTTGGTCTATCAGCGGGGCCAATTCGTGAAGTACCGCGACGGCAACGTCGGCAGACTTGAGCATATCATGACGCACGAAGCAGTGCATGGTGAGTCAGAACCTTCTGATCGACTCGTCATCATCCCATATGGAGCGGGGGTATCCGACAAGCGTCCCGCCACCACTCTATCGATCAGCAAACTGCGCTTGACGAGACAACGGACCAACCACGCCCAGAGCGCTAACAAATATTCCTGTCAGGTTCTGGCCAGTTCTTTGTGTTCTTAGTCATCACGCCACTCGCCGACACCGGCAGCACCGAGCCCCTGACCGGACTTCCGATCTTGAAGATGGCCGCGTCTGGTGCCAACATTGCCATGGCGGCTTCGCTCGAGGACTGTCGACACCGACTTATCGGCCTGCCTGCTCTACGCCGCGATCGCCTTTATATGGTACCTTTCACGACTGGTCCGGGTCGCCGCCTGCTTACAGGCATCGGGAACACTGAGCTGGAGGCGGATACCGAGCTACTCTGGGTTAACTGGCGCGTGCAGTTCACTTGATGCGCAATGGACGGATGGATCGCGAGGAACGACAGGGCATGTAAAAGAGCACCTCATTTGAGTGTGCTGGCTCCCCGGGATATGCGACGTGTCGCGCGCGTCGCATGTCCTGGCGTGCCAGCAGAATTGACCAGTTGAGCCCTGCATAAGCGTGTATTTGAGTGGGTCAGAGTGGATCCGGCGGGCGTGGAGGGGCGCGATGCGAGCGAACCGGGTCGGCAACACCGCGAACCGCACACATTGAATAAGCGGCTAAACGTCGGAGCAGCTCACAACAACAAACGGCTCACAGTTTACAAGCCGTTGTGATAACGGCTCAGTTAACATTTAAACGACTCAGCAAAACTAGCGGCTCAATCGCAACAAGCGGTTGATTTACATGAACGACTCAATGGTGTTTCAGCGGCTTATTTAAGTAAACCAGTCACATAAAACGAGCGGGGTGATATTAGCTTATGATATTCAGCAGTTTAGACTAAGGAGCCGTCAACCAACGGTAAGTCAACGGTTCATGGAGGCCAGCATGCGACGGTAAGGGGGTTCGTCATGGGTTTCTGCCACCAGTGGAACGCGCCAGGCGGTATTTCGTTCCAAGAGACGCCCAGCCGGCGTCCGTTGACAACCCCAAAGCTCTGATCGGCGATGAAGATGCAGAGCCAGGTCCGCTCGAAGTTGCGGCGGAGGCGTTCCTTTAGGTCATCAGCCGCCGTGGGAATGGACGCGGCGAGGTAATCGTCGACACGGTCAGGGTCGTAGATAGCTAACTCTCTTGCTAGCTGGGCAGCCTTTCCGAAGCATGTCCGTTAGCATACAGCTTTGTCACGAACTCTCCAGGGCTTGTTAATGCACTCGTGCTTTCTCTTACATGGCTGAGATGCAGTGAGGAAGGGTCGCTGGAATGTCTCGTGCGCATGGGTGCCCAGTATTGCATTAGGACGATAGCTTGAATGATCTCCACGCCTCTTACCGAAACGGCAATGGACCATTTCATGTTCGCGTCGGCCAACGACAACAACGCTGCATGTATGACTCGATCTCGAGGCCGCGACGAAACGGCGCAGCCCAAGCAGCATATGGCGGAGAAAAGCGTAAAGGAAGAAGCATAAACGTATTCGGGGGTGTGAAGTTCTGGATCTAGCAACCCCAAGAGGGGGTTACGAACTGTAAAGAAGCTTGACAACCGTGTCCGTCAATGTCCCGATGCTCTTTGTTACGCCAGAAAGCATCCCACATACAGATTAAATAGATAGTTGACGTCAGCCTCGTCAATCAGGCGAGCAGACACGGGATCGCAAGCGCTCGATTCCAGCTTGAATATGCTCTCGACGGACTGAAGGGATAAAACCTGCCAGTCCTTCTGCAACTTGGGACTTTGGGGTCCTGAAAGCGTCCAGAGATATTAGCTGAAGTGTATCGGTAGATAAGGCAGGGGCTGAATAAAGGATTTTAAGATAACGCATAACTATCGATAATTACCAAAGTATCCAGCAAATGGACAGTCGGCGGAAGCTGGGCTAACCGAAGATCCGACAAGGTCACCACAAGAATATAGAGCAGATTGCGACGGTGATGCGAGGATTTGCGGAGCTGAATCAATATCGCTGACTCCACTGACAGCTGCGACGGCAGATGCGAGGATGTCAAGAGGAGACACAGTGGACGGTTGGGCTTTGGGCTCGGAAGCATGGCTGCAGCGTGGAGAACAAGGGCCGTCGGGCAAAGAAACGTTCTCTGCCGTAGCAGATTCGGAGACGCGCGATATCAAATCGTTCAGAGCACCGGGCTGGGTGGGCGGACCTGGAAACGAAGCTGCAGTGGCCGAATCTAAGATTGCCTTAACTACCTGGTCGCCCACCGGGCTCTCGCTGATGCGCAACAAAAGCTTCTCGACTGTGTCCGGCTTGCTGGTGGAGGGTCAGCCACGGCGCCGCAGAGATTGCCGAGTCGGCGACGGTGTGGAGAACTCATGATCCTTACTTGGTGCTTCCTGGCTTACGCCCACGATTGGAGGCGGACGGGTAGCTACACGGTTGCTTCTGTGCAGCGCAGCGCGAACTTGAATCAACCCGATCCCATTATGGTTAGCATAGAGATGCTCTCCCTTCAAGAGTAGGTAATTACTTGTTAGACGCGTAAGCTGAGATTCTGGGGTCATTCACCATGGATTCAGGCGATCACATCGCTGCCTCGCTGAACGGCAGCTGAAGCACGCCGTGCGATGACGGGCGGCCGCCGCGGCCACAGCGAGCCTGGTATTATTACTACCATCGCCGGCGACATTGATTTCCGGGGCCGCGGAGCAGATCTCCCGGCCGCCCTGTCCGCTTGGGAATGGTATCATGGCTGGCCAACCCGGGGCCTCGGTTAGTTAACATTAGGGACTGGCAGGTTGTGGCAAAGTATGAGTTTCAGCGGCTGGATGGATGGATGGAATTTATTTCGCCCGGAGGCACTGGGCCTATAGGGCCTTAGCACGCTGACTACATCCGGATCAAATCGTTTTGCCTTTAACTCGTACAAGCCCCCTACTTCTTCCCTCTTTCTCGCTGCACCATTTACCTCTTGGTTTCAGCGGCGGTTGGTGTCACGAGAGATGTTTTGCAATTTCCATTTCCCGTTGCCACCGGGATTTTGATCTAATCCCCGCACCCCCATCGGCTCCACACGGCAGATTGATCCAATTGCATCAAGATACATTAAGCGGGGACCTCGGGCCAAAAGAAGCCGATGTCGAACGGAGGGCGAAAGGTCGAGAAAAGAGAAAAAAGGAGAAGAAAAAAAGGAGGAAAAGGTACGGGAGATGGAGCAAAGTAAGATAAAAATAAAAGAAAAAAAAAAAATGAAAAAGGAGTAGAATAGAAAGAAGACTCTGGGTTTTCTTTTCGTTCCTATGTTCCACATAAGATTTTCTCGGCATCTGCGCTTTGGGTTTGGTGCTCGGGACGCACACGCACACTCATCTAGGTACCTAAGTATATCGTTCAGATCAGCTCCCCGGTCAGATTTGTAACGGACCTATCCCTATTCTACCTTGTTTAATAAGAACGGAACCATTTGTCAGATTGTCGGATGCATTGTTCCGAACCCAGGCGCTCCACGAAACAGGAACCACTGAACCAGCTTTACGCGGACCCCTAAGAACCACTCCTCAGCCCCATACCAACATGTCTACCCTTGGGCTTGCCATGGCTGAAATGGCCATTCCTATCCAACGCGCCCTATGAGCGGAGTGGCTGGAAGCAGACTGGCAGTCGCTTGTGACTCGTTGCTGGAGGCTTGGGTCAAATCGGCTTCACAGGCGATCCGATGCTGCTCGACCGTGAGTTAGCTAGCGCCAGATGCCAACTGCAAGACCACGTGCCCACGGACGATACCCTGGATAACAATGACATTACGAAGAAACATATCCTTCCGGTCGGAGCCGGCTTCATTGTCTTTGGAACGCCCCTCGACGAATTCCTTCCGGTCATCGCCCGGCACAACCCGGCGGTCGCGTGGCTGTCGTTCGGAACGGCCGCTGAGTTCCAGGAATGGGCAGCCGGAATACGGCAATGCTCGCCCCAAACCAAAATCTGGATCCAGCTCGGAAGTGTCACCGCTGCGGTGGAGGCTGCTCGCCGCTGCCAACCGGATGCTCTCGTCCTCCAGGGCAGCGATGCGGGCGGGCACGGACACGAAAGCGGCGCCAGTATTGTGTCGCTCATCCCAGAAGTCGCCGATGCTCTTCGAGCCAAGATGCTGCCTGACATTCCCTTGATTGCTGCAGGTGGCATCATGGACGGCAGGGGTACCGCGGCAGCTCTCGCGCTCGGCGCCTCGGGCGTAGTTATGGGAACTCGTTTCCTCGGCGCTGAAGAGGCTAGCGTGCCGTCCTCGTTCCGCAACGCCATACTTGAAGCCTCCGACGGAGGAGAGGCCACAGCCCGATCCAGAGCGTTTGACGCCATGTGGGGTCACAACATGTGGCCTCCCCTCTACGACGGCCGGTGTCTCAAAAACACCACATATCAACGTGTCAAGGATGGCATGTCGCATGATGAGGCGAGGCTCGCGTTGTATCGGGATTTAGAGGGCAGAACGGACCAACAAGTTAGCGCTAAGGACTCGATGACCATTTGGGCAGGCACCGGTGTTGGCATGGTCAACAAGGTGGAGAGGGCCGCTGATATAGTTTGCCAGGTACGCACATCGGCTCTCGAGACCATCGCAGCGCTGGGGACAGCAATGGGAGGGAGAGGCGGCCTGATCGGTAATCTGCCATGAAAGATAGCTAAAGGGTAGAAAGAAGGGTGTGAATTCTAGATGAGGGGCTTTACAAGCCAATACAAGAGGTGCCCCTTCGCTTGGCTGCTAAACTAGGACGGACAACAAGAGCTGATTGTAGGCTTTGACAGCCGACAGAAACATGAAACGCCCACAGGGATGTCGGCGGAAGCCACAGCAATATCGTGCTGCCTGCGGATCATCTGAGCCTCAGCGCGATTTCCGAGGCGCACAAGACATTCGTAGAGGCCCTGTAATCCCCAGACATTGTTGGGACGCGCTTTCCGAGCCGAAAGGTTCTCACTGAATCCCAAATCCTGCTTATATACCTCTACGGCCTCTTCGACGCGATTCTGCTCGAGCAGGAGAGCGCCCAAAGCATGGCGAACTGGCTGCATCCACAGAGGAGGATCGCTGTAAGGGAGATTGTCCTCGGCCTCAACTCCCTGGCGCAGAATCTCGAACGCCCTTTCGAAGTTGCCCTCGCGGTACGTCAGCTCACCGTCCAGCATCAGCGCCGCGACGCCGAGAACGGCCCTGCCGGTCGACGTCATGCCGTAAACACGGTCCTCGGGAATCGCAAGGCGAGCCTTTTCGAATTCGGCCTTGGCGTCTCTGGCCTCTTCCAGGCGGCCCAGTACCGCGAAAGCAATCCCTCGGGCGTACAGAATGACGGCGGTGGTGGTGGACATCAGCTGCCGATCCTTGGGCAGTTCGAGCTTCAAAATCTCCTCCCAGCGTCCAAACCTGATGAGCACATGAGCCATCGTTCCGCGTTGGTACTCTATCCAGTTGACCATGCGTGGAGACTGGATGGACAGGATCTCTGTCGTGATGATCTCGTCCAAACGCTTGGCGGCCAACAGCGCAGGCTCCAAGCGGCCCGAGATCATGGCGGCGTAGCCCATGACATGAATATTGTGAGTCCTGTACGCAGTGTAGAGGACGGAACCCTGCTCCTCGGCAAAGTATCTGTCATCTGAGATCATGGCGTCGTAGTTGGAGTCGACCCCTCGGCGGTAGTCGCCGCAGGCGATGTCGATGTGAGTCGCCATGTGCTGCATGTGGGAACCGTCCGGGACGAGACGACGTAGCCGATCCGCTGCAGGCTGAGCGATGGCCGGGTTTGGCGACATCTCCATCAGGTGGATGTACAGGTGGCAAGTCGCAGGGTGGTATTTGCTGACCGGGCGGACCATGGCTGCTTCAATGACCGTCATCGCTTCCACCGTCTCTGGGCTAGTGGGCTCGCCTGTGTTGAGGTTCCACAGCTGGCGGGGGCGGAGGTTCATGAGTGACTCGACAAACAAGGCAGAAACATCGGGATCGCTGCCAAAATCCTGGTATACGCTCCTCATCGCTTCGACATAGGCGAGGTCAAGAGGCCGGGTGTCCTGTGGGGGGCTTGCTCCTTCCGGCGGGAAACGAGTGCGAAGCGCCTGGATCAAGGCCCTTTCCACTGGCTGGGCGTTTGTTGCCATCTCAACGGCGCGCGACAGTGCCGTTGAGCCCACCATGATGGCTTTTGTCAGATCTGCCTTGTCGAAACGGGGCCAGGGCTTATTGTAATTCGGGCCAACGGCGTATGCGATGCCCCAGTACGCCATGGCACAGGTGGGGTCATGTTCGACGGCCTTCTGGAAGCAACGGTATCCTTCCTCGTGATTGAAGGAATAGGACCACATGAGCCCGCGATCGAACCAGATCTGCGCTTCAGGGGATTTGGTGGTCACCTCGCGCCGGTATTCGCCAAGGTTGTAGTACGTGGGCGGACTGTGTAGCTGTTAGCATAGCCTCTGGTCATTAACGGCCGACGTTCTCACCCCATGTTGGCGGCTTCGGGTCGATCTGAGGTCGAGATGCTAGACTTCCTCTCGAATGCGGACAAAGGTAAATTTCAAGCTTGGGCGTATCAAAGGACTCAAGGGGTCAAGGCAGGCGCCGGTCGATAAATTCCGAATAAAAACCGAAACCAATCGTCCAAAGCACCGGCTAGGGGACAATGTTTGTGTGATAGAATGGCCGTTCGATGACGGGGACGGTGCTACGTTAATTAGTCGATATAAATATTAACTAGATAAATAATTCGTCGCCCCTGACTCGCCACTAATTGCACCATGAATGCATAAATGTATGCTAGTAATGAATTCGCGCGGTAAGGTACTGCACCACTTTTGACTGTCTGATTTTCCGTTTCGCCCCACCGTGCAGCCGAACAGCCGACTAAAAGAAGACGCCGTTCATCTCTATCCTCAGCGAAAAACGTTCACCACACTCGGCAACTTCCAATCGAGGTAGCCAAGCAGGCTAGTGGCTGCTAGAAAGTCTCCGATTTGAGAAGGTCCCGGACGCTAAGATGTCGGACCATAAAATTTGCCACATTAGGTGGATCAGTTTACCAAATCTCATATCGCGGACGAAGAAGCATGTCAATAATATTTAAAAATGAAGAACGAGGGTGACCCATGCTATACCCATTCCCGACCTTTGGCCGCTAAAAGGTTTTTTCGCTCAATGTTTATGAAACTAGGTAATTATGACTCCATCGTCAAGGATTACACCAGTTTGCTCCAGCATGAAAGATGAATGATAAAAGTTAAAACTCGCAACCTCCCAGCTAAATCGTAGTCTCTCTGCCTCTGCCTTATCATCGATGTCTGCGGTCGACCGCCCACCCCATGTACGCCCTACCTTGCTCGTCCCCGTCTCATATCGACGTCACCCCATGACAAGGCATCCCAAAACATCAGGAACCCCGTGGATAGGACTCGAACGCCGGCGGAGAAGCCATGAGACAGTGCGAGCGGAGCCGTAGTCGCGGCCGGGCAGATGAGCCAAATCCCGCCCTCGAAGGCCAGGCAGAGGCGGTTGAACAGCAGGAACAACAACAGCTACAGCCGCCTACTTCCCCCCTTCCAGACGGAGGCTATGGGTGGGCCGTCACCGCCTGCGTCGCCATCGTCAACGGCCACTCCTGGGGCATCAATGCGGCATACTCGGTGTTTCTGGGTCATTATCTAGCCAACGACGTCTTTTCCGGTGCCACGCCCCTCGGCTATGCCTTTGTTGGGTCGCTAAGCATCGGTTGCACATTTCTCATCTCGCCCCTCGCAACCATCGCCGTACGAGTCTTCGGAACAAGACCAACCATGTTATTGGGTGCGGTCCTGCAGTCCGTGAGCCTCGTCTGCGCCAGCCTCACGACCCGCATGTGGCACCTCTTTCTATCCCAGGGCGCCCTCTTCGGCATCGGCATGGGCCTGCTCTTTGTCCCATCCTACGGCATTATCTCGCAGTGGTTCGCTGCCCGGCGTGCCTTGGCCAACGGCATCGCCATTGCCGGTGCGGGGATTGGCGGCCTTGTGTATTCTCTGGGCTCGGGCGCCATGATCCGCAACCTTGGTCTGGAGTGGACACTTCGAATCCTGAGCATGGTTTCTTTCGTGGTCAACGTTTTATGCATCCTGCTCATACGAACCCGATACGGGGCGACCGGCTCACGCCAGCTGGCGTTTGACCCGAGTCTTTTCAAGAGAGTCGAGTATCTCCTTATCCTGGCTTTTGGTTCCTTTAGCATGCTCGGGTACTTCGTCCTGCTCTTTACACTCGCCAACTACGCGGACGAGATAGGGCTCGACGCATCTCAGGCAGCAGTCATCCCGGCCCTGCTCATGCTAGGCCAAGCTCTCGGCCGACCCGTCATCGGGCACTTCAGCGACAAAATGGGGTGTATTAACATGGCCGCCCTCCTGACCCTTCTAACCGGTGTCTTCTCCCTCACTATCTGGGTTAATGCCAAAACCTACGGTGTGTTGATTTTCTTCGCACTCATCGGGGGCACGGTAGCCGGCGTGTTCTGGGTGACCGTCGCACCTGTGATAGCCGAGGTCATCGGCCTCGAGAACCTACCTTCGGGGCTGACGCAGTTATGGTTGGCGTTGGTCCTTCCAGCGACGTTCAGCGAGCCCATCGCGCTCGAGATTGTTGTGAAAACGGGGAACTATATCGGGGCACAGCTCTTCACCGGTCTCGTATTTATTGCAGCGGCTTTTTTTATGACGCTTCTCCGCGGATGGGCAATTGGTCGGACATTAAGGCACAATGACACGTCCGGATCGAAGCCTAAGTCGCGTGGTGGTGCCGGGGCTTTCCTCTACGACTGTTGTAGGTGGGAAAAGGTCTAAACCGGTTCTAATAATAGCTGAGAAATACTGTGACTGCTGAATAGAGTCTCACCCATTGACAGTATTAAAGAGAATTGCGAGTGTGATATGTTTCTAGTTTGGGAGGCGAGGAGCTTACAATGTCCGACTGGGTCTCTGTTGGTCTGGCTCCAGTGTATATGCGTTGTTCGACATTTTCGATGAAGCCGAAGCGCCAGAATGTTCATACATTGGTATCGCAGGTCGTTTTGAGCCGGTGACGGTCATCCGTCACTCGGCTGACGCACGAGCCCCCTACGTTGCGCCCCACCCATTGGAAGGTCCCGCATGCTGCGGCGCCCTGTCGGGGCTGGCTGAGGTGACCACAGTCGCGTGCCTGGTTGGTGGTTGGTCCCATTTCTTTTCGAACCGCAGAATGCGTGCGGCCCTTCAACCTGCCCCCCATTGGGTAGACGTCGGCGCCGAGAGGTCCGCCAATGTTCTGTAACCGCCCGAATTAATTAACTACACCTAACTAACCATCTACCTAAACAGTTAACTAGTTATGGATTCGGATCTTACTTATACGGCCCGCCTGCGCGAGGTGGTCGAGCGATGTCTTCTCGAGTCCCAGCAGCAGGCGCCGGAAAACACGAGACGAGCGTACGCTCCCAAGCAGAAAGAGTGGAAGGTACAAAAAGAGATGAAGGACTATTCCGTTTGCCGGCGCCTCCTGCTGACCGGCGGCTAACACGTAGATCTGGTGTCGGAGCAGGGGCTTCGCGTCTATTCCTGAAGGCTGGCCGGCAACCCACGTGCCCGGACGACCCCTACCGGAAGACCTTGTCGATGAGGGCAAACTGCTGCTCTTCATGGCCGACGAGGTGGTTTCCCGTGCGCCTCGGACCGGCTCCCGGGTCGCCCAGGAGCGGAGGAAACGTCGCGAAACCGAACAAGCCGGTGGGATCGCCAAACGGAAGAAACTGCAGGGCCATGGCAAGGACGAGGTCGCCGAGTGGCCAGAAGGCTGTATAGTGGCTCACACCGTACCTGCGGACGCCGATGACGCAGATTCCGGGGACGAGGAAAGCTCCTTCGAATCATCGCTCAAGCTTCAGTATAACACGGTTCGGAGCTACGTCTCCGCCATCCAGAAGCTCTACGACGTCCAGAGGACTCGCGGAATAAATCCGGCGCCCCGGCCGCAAAGCGTGGCGTTAAAGGCCATGCAGAAATCGATCCTCCGGACGACTTGGGCTCGCAAGCGTTCGGAATACGCGGACCGCGGCGAAAACACGATCAAGGACTCGTATACGCCGTCTCAGATTCCGGTCCACACGTCCGCCGTATGGAACGAGTCCAAGCAGATCGCCTGCGCCCTGCGAACGCAGGTGGATTTTCTTCTCGGCAACCATATGCTTCTTCGTTCGAGCAATCGGCGGCCGCTCGAGCTCCCAGATTGCTTTTGTCTGGAACTCCCCAACGAGGGCGTCAAGGATAAGGATAACATCACTCGGGCATTTGTCGTCGTGATGAATCAGGGAAAAACTAACCAGCACGGTCGTCTGGAATATGGCGCCTGTTTGAGACATCGCGATCCGTTGGCCTGCCTCGTGGGCGCCCTAGGTTTCTGGCTCTTTTACCGCTGGCACGTGGAGAAGGAGTCGTTCCCGAGCTTTTCGCGACGAGAAGACTGGTACGACCTGAAGATCCTTCGGCGCTCGATCAACGAGCCCAAAGGTAAGAAAGAATTGGCCGCCCGTTTTCCGCACCGGACACCTGGCATCGAAGCGCTGACGAGACTTAGATGTGTTGACCCCCCAGACTGCGAACGACTGGACTCGGCGTTTCTATGAGAAAAGCGGAATTAAGACGACTAAGGCGAGTCATGCCCCGCGAGTCGCGAGCTCTCAGAACGCGGACATCGCCGGTGTCCACGAAGGCCAGATCCGCCGCGCGGGCCGCTGGAATAACGGAGACCAGATGACGGGCTGCTATCTGACCTCTCTGCCCCTGGAGTTTATGCGGGCTGTCGCCGACTTTGACCCTGAATGGTCGGGGTCTTATTTCATTGTCAGGAGCACCGCCAAGCCTCCCGGCCGTCTTCTTGCCCGGGTCTTCCCTGGGTTAGATTACTGGAAGGAACAGCACGACGCTCCGGAAAGTAGTCCATTCGCCGCCACCGTTCAGCAAGACAAGGCTGCGGGCGCCTTCCTTGAGCTTCTCGCCTGGCTCTGGGAGGTGGTCCTCCAAGATGCTGCCTTCCTGAAACCTCTGTTCCCGAATCATCCCATCTTCCGGGACCCTCTCTTCCGGGATCCGGAATTCGAACAATACGCAGCCCGGGTCCGTGATATCTGCAGCTAGGCTCACGAGGATAGCCACCAGACGGCCATCGAGAAGACAATCCCGTCGGTGGCGGAGAAGTTGCGCTCCATCTCAACCCAGCAGGTCGCCCAGAATGCGCTAAACCAACGGCGACACGAGGAAACGGTTCAGGCCCTCCGGAAGCTAGAAAGGAAACTAGACCTGCTGGTGAACACCAGATATACGGTTACTATAAGCCCCGAAGGTAAACATCTGGAACAGAGGGTGGAGTTGCCACGCGGCAGGCGCGTACACCGGAGACGGCGAGAGTCGTCGCTGTCTCCCTGCTCCCCGCCTCCCCATGCCTCTTCGCTTGCCTCCACCAATGCCGCCGCCTCCTCTTCTAATACCGAGCATCTTCTTCGGGCCGGGAACGAGAAGCCGGTTGGACAGCATATTCCTACAGTGTCTCCGTCGAAAGCTCCAGGCGTCGCAGTTGTCGGTCCGGAGGATGACGAATCGCCGCCCCGTTTTCGATTCCCACAGTCCGTCAGGACGGTAATGGAACTCTGGCGTCTCTGGAGACACGGACTACCTCCAATGCCGTCCATTCAAAGTCTCGAAGAGCGTTGGGGTGCTCGGTGGCGAGCAAGAGGCGACCGACAATACTTCTCCATCCGTCGTAGAATTCTCGACGAGATTGTACGTCGCTCGCAAGCCCGAGACCAGCCGGAGGAGGTCTCGGCGCGAGAGATGGATATAGAGAGGGGGAAGATCTCTTTGGATAAGTTCTCCAAAGCTCTGGGGGCGCAACGGGGCCAGGGCACCGGTTGAACGGGATGCCGCTCTTCAAAGTTGGCGTTGGGGGTGGAAGGTAGGCGGGCGACCTACGCGTTAGCCATAGTTAAAGCTAGCTACAGAGTTAAGCACATAACAACTAACGACGTCCAACTCACTGGTTACCTAGACTTGGTGTTGCTGATGTTCTAATGTTCTTTCTGACTGAGTGTTCTCAGCCCCCGCTGTATTTACAGTAGCTCTACAGGGACATTACACAGGGCGCACAGGGCGCACAGGGCGCACGGGGCCGGGCGTAGAGGGCGTACAGGGGGCAGAGAGGGTAGCTGAAGCTTACAAATTCAATTCCGTTCGTGGCCACATCACTCCCGTGGACAAAAAAATATGCGTTAAGATTGCCCGATTGAGATCTGTCTAACAAAACTACCTGCACGAGATTTGATAAAGGTGCGACGGTGTTCTGTGGGAATATCATCTCGGGCCCCGGTTTTTTTGGTGATATCAAGGGCTGGGCCGTCATCTGCGCTGTCATCGGATGACGCCCCACCAAAAAAGACCTTCAATATCCTCTTGATAACAACTGCCACAGTGTAGAGGACAGCATAGGTAAAGACCAAACAACTTCCCTAGGTTGCCCCGAGCTTTACGGGTTTGGCGCTATCAGTCGCTACCATTCTGCTCAACAGCGAGGAACCACCAGACTTTCACCCGCAAGGAGATGTGCATTGTAAGGCAATATCTCTGGAACCCGAGAAATGCAGCTGTACGTGTTGGATTCGCCACATGGAATCTTCTGGTGGATACCAGCAACTGATCTCTCAGGGTGGCTTAATGCTAACACTTTGCCCATCGCCACTGTGGCATGCTGTGGCAAACCATAGCATGAAGTATATATAGCCCGATTTCTCTTCCTCGGATCAGAAGAAAAGAAACAATCAATCAATTCTTTCTCCCCATCTTTCGATCTGAGTGTCGTTTCCAACAGTACGGGCCCTGTAACAGATCCGTGTATCACCCACCTCGAGTTGCCATCAACCTCTCCCGTCAACCGCTGGCTAGCTTGCTCCGGCCGGCTGCAGAAACGGAGGGTATCGAGCACGAGTGTCCTTTGTATCTCCAGATACTGTACGTGTACTGGAAATATTATATTCCGGATGAGAGTGATCGTCGCAGACTAGGTCGTCTCCTATTGGACGCAATACCCACGTTTAGTTACATTGTTCGTCTGTTAGTTGCCCAACCCCGCCGGCTAACTGATGACGGTGATGTCTGTTAAGTCGGATGTCTTGGATCCGTGTCACCGACGGTGTGATGGCCGGCAAGACTAGCAATTCGTGAGGATTCCCGGCACCAACAACATTTGCAAGGCATGCCCACGGAGAATTTCAACCTGATCGCGCGGCGATTACAAGGATAAAGGGCGATTTGCTTCAGGCTGTATGTATCTGGTTCCGCGCGAACATGGGCCGGGCTGAAATCCACATGTGCGGAAATCACTCCACGGTTCCGAGACGACTTGCGACCGTTGTTGGTTTCCAGGTGGCCCTGACGGCTGGCCAACCGAGGTGAGAGCGACGGCAGCAAAGATTCTCAGCCCCTTTTGCAACGATACGTGCTCCAAGGAGTCAGTAAACCTCAACAAAGATCTATGGGTAATCAACGCCCGGCAAGGAGAATGTATCCTCGTAAATTCCATGGTAAAACTGTTTCCCCGTTCCCATGTAATGCCGAGCTGCCTTCCAACACCGAAAGTCGTTGAAGGCTAAAGTCCTGGTCCTCCACCCCAAACTTCCAGCATTGGGTACTTCGCTGCCAGGAGTTCGGTGCCTGGTAACGATTGGGATGTGCTTCTGAGTATTAGAAACGCCGCCGTTTCAGGGAGGCGAATGCCCCATATAGCGGCATTTCCACAACCTAACAATATATATCCTATCGACCTCGATAGCTGCCTAATTACTCAAGACCTCCTCATCTCACGTCTTTCTTCTTTCATTCCGCGCCTCAGCACCTCTTCATTACCTTAGTATCGACAGTGTTGGTTCCTCCTTGCAGTAACAATCCCGCAACCTCTTCTCTTTATTCGGCTTCTTCCCCAATAGCAACATCACATGCTAACAATCGCGGGGATTTCTCAGTGGCGGCGTTAACGTCGGAATCTCAGATCAGCCGCGCCCGTGAACCTAAACACGGTATCCAACAACTCACATCGCAGGAACAGGCATTCTCGACCGTTCGTTGAGCGAGACGCCGGACGTGTCAACTTTGCGGGGCACCTCAGTGGCCCAGAAGAAGTCGCCCCCAAAAGAAGTTTCATCACCACTGCCAATTCCATAAAACCTTGGCCGCCGGTTTCCACTCTCCCTGCACAGCCCACGGGCCACCATGCATGTTGCACAAGAACCATGCATAGATACACCGGAACTATGCACCTTACACAAGAGCCATGCCTCCTATATTGGGCACTATGTATGCAACTCGGTTTGGATATCACTCGTTAGTTCTTTAGATCTAATCTCGTTGTGTCATAGGGTGCTGCTGCCAAGGATCCGGCGGTTGGATTCTTGGCTGTCGTAAAGCGAGCCAACAAGCACCGGGCATCGTTAAAGTCTGCCATCAATCTCGCCAATTCGCGGTCTCCCACAGGCGGGGTAATAGACATACAGAATAGTAAAATGGTATAGGAACACAGCGTCCCTTAGTTACAAAGCCAGGGCATACTCCTCTAGCCCAGCTAATGAATAATCTAGTTCTATCTCATCGGCTAAGGTCCTGAAAGCCTTCTCAACAGTGTACTTGCAGGTACTCCTAGCAATTGTAGTATATGGTACGGTCGAGCCGCCGGGACACCCTCGGGTCCGCACTTAGCGGGATCCGTCCCGTGGTTGACGCTAACAGCTAAACCAATGGCACATTGAAAGTCCGGCGTCGGACCTCATCGCGCGTCCAGTTACGAATACATGTGGCTTGTTCCAGCTGACATTAGATCACACACTGTAAAGTTTAGCCCCTATGTAGGATTCACGGTTGAGTCTCATTGGGCGTTGAGTCAATAATTATCAATACCTATGCAGGTAAGATGCCACGCTGACCCGGAGTTGGGGTCGGAGTAGTTGGGGGCCAGGATAGGAAGAAATGCTCCATGAAGCTGGCCGTGATGGAGGCAGTTCACGGCTAGGGGACTCAGAAGTATAAGAAGGATGCGATGGGATGCTATGACGCTCAGGTTAGTACAGCATCCAACAATCTCTCCCGCACAACTGCAACGCTTCTACAAAGTTCCAGCGTATCTCACGCCATCATCAACACCTCTCAAGTTCGCAAGTACTGCGGCATCCAACAACCCTCTTACACTATGCTCGTCGTCAATCTTGCCGGGCTTGCCCTCTTGGCCATCTTCGGCCAGACTACTCTCGCCGCTCCTGCCGTTAATGTTGCTGCCGCCCGTGATCCTTCCCAAGACTTCATGGCCGGCGTCGACACCAGCACTTGGGTCTCGGTCCAGTTCCACGGCAAAACCATCACCTACAACCCCGACGCCCTCGTCGTCAATGCCACCGTAGCCTCCACCTCCGAAACCTCGGCTAAGCGTTCTGTACTCCACAAGCGAGGTCCCTGCATCGGCGGCAGCAACGAGGATTGTTGTGGCGGGAGCTCGTTCAGTGGCACTCCTGCCCCTTGGGCGTGGACAAGCGACTGCGCCGCCATCCGTGATTGGGCGTACAACCAGCACACTACGTTCAACGTCCATGGCATAACGGGCGACTACTACGGCATCGTCTTCGCTGGGAGCTGTGCGTTTGGAGCAGGGACCTGGAACTGGTATACTACTTACATGGGGTCCACGGATATCGGTGACTTGACTAGGGATGGTATCAATATGTTTGCGGTGAGTGTTCCCCGCCCAAAACTTCAAGGCGCCCAGTCTTCTACAAAACAGTTTACTGACTTTGAATCAAGGGTTCCAACGGGCAAGTCGGAGCCCAAGGGTCTATGAAATGCTCCAATTCAGCATTCTCCGACCCGAGCTCGGGGTCAGATGTTTTCTGGAAGCTTCAGTGCAACGGCTGTTGAGAGATGATTCGCGGCCAAGCACCATTGGGCTGAGGAGATTGAAGTTCGTCTTGTTGGATCTGGTGGGCTTTTGGGTCAGCCGCTGTGAGATTGAAACGAGTGTACTAGCAACCATAGCTGGGAGTGGCATGTTTCTCACTTGGCTGTGGGTGGAGAAGGGCTCGCAAAGAAAGGAAAGAGTAAATATTCACGAACCGACTTTCAACAAGTCGTTTGTAATGTCCGGACACTTTGGACCATCTCCCAAGACCCTCGTGATGTTTCTTTCTTAGATAAACTGTCTTTATAAAGAGCTTATATTCAGCATTGGTGATTGCTAGCCCTGTACGTCGAGCACCGGCTTGTCTGGAGTTACGAACAAGTAGTTAATACTTACGGATGAAGTCTCGATCGGGAGAAAAGTCCTCATGCAACTAGCATCTTCCTAGATCTCCACTGTTCTGTTGTTATCTTGCTTTCTCCATTTCACCCATAAGCGGCATCCACAAGCAGAAGCCCAAGGTCATCGAGCTTCTATAAATACATACAATTAGCCGACACGTTAAGGCAAACACCCGGTGCTGTCACCACACCGCCAAACTAGGTTGCGATGGACTCGTAAAACAGAACCTTGCAATGTCCTCTACATTAACTTCTACTTCCACCGGACGCTTCATTTCACTCCTCTTCACTTATCCGCATTACGCCCGTCAACAGCTTTTTACTCTGCAACAAGACTTAAGGCACTGCTGTGAGAGTTGCTGTCGCGCTGCAAACACCAGTGGTCGCCGTAGGGCACACGCATTTACCATCCACACTCTGGACAGGCAGCGCCGTACAGGTAGACGGCTGGGTCCAGCTAACAATAGTGCTCGTAGGCGGGAAGTTCTCGGGGTTCCTAAACGTTACGGCTTTGACCAACACAGGGATCGCCTGCCCCGTTGCAAGGCGGAATGGCCTGTGATTGAGCACGCCCAACAAGCTCGCGATCTCGCCAGAGTGTGCCGTGAAGCTCAACCAGGTGTTCTTATCAATCGTGAATAGCTCGTCTAGCAGCACCTTGTTGCGCTTTGCTTGAGCCTCGCTCGTCTCGTAGTCGACACCATTGAACAATGGATCGAGCTCGGCAAAGCCGGCCTCGAAGCGGTACCAGGGGAACATGTTGGCGATGTGGGTTTTAGAGCTGCGGTGGTCGCAGGTGCGGATGCTGATACCCTCGCGCAGGTACTCCTTAACGATAGGGAAAAAGTTGTCTAGGCCGAGCCCGTTGAAGGTCGTGTTGGCTGTGGTGGTGCAGCGGGCTAGGGGGGAGGTGTAGAAGGACTCTGGGGCGGGCTGCTTCTGCTCTGAGATTTGGGTGCGCCAGAAGTTGTGGGCCTTGATGGACTCGGCTTCACCGGCCTTAGTTAGAAGGGGATCGTTCCAGATGGCGGTACCGTTGCCATCGAGTGGGCCCCAGTAGCACTGTGTACGTAGGTTAGCTGAACATGAGTCCCAAAGATCCTTTGTGAGATGAAGGGAACCAGTAACTTACGTTCCAAGCGGGCGTGCCGTAAAACGACTCAGCGGCGTTATGCCAGCCTTCACCGTGGCGCTGCATCAGCAGCACCTTGTACTGCGTGTTAGGGCAGGCTTTCGCGTTGAGGTGCTTGACCTTATTTGCGAAGCGCGCCCACTGCGTCTTTTCTCCTTTGGGGTCGAACTCGGCGTCGGTGTCGTAGGCGCGATTTAGCAGGCCGAAGTTGGTCTGGGTCTATGATACCAGTTAGCTTTGCTCGGGGAATCGTGGGATGCGGACTCGAGTGTATATACGTAGTCGAAGCCGGTGGGATCGGTCGCGGCTTCATCTTGAAGGAAGTACCCCGTGATAGTCGTGTAATTGATGTAGGTCGGGCCATCCACTTGATGACCGTGGAGCTGCCAGGCGAGCGATGCAGGGACAAGAACAGCCAAGGAAACGAGTGTGTTAGTCAACATCGTGAAAAAAAAAAAGAGTGTTCCTATTTGAACAGTAGTTTTTTTCTATTTGGACAGTAAAGGTCCGTGCCCGTACTAAAATTGATGCGCCCACACCACTGTTGTCACTATTACACACCTAATTACAGTGCAAAGTCCTGGGACATGACATACCTGCCAATTGAAGACAGCAACAACACCAAGACTTCGTCAATTCGCGATCGCGAGGTCGTTTTCTTCCGTTTTTTTCGCCCACAGCCGCAACTTCCCTTTATCATCGCCACATTCCTCGTTTTTCGATGGATTTCACCGATTGGGATGCCTTCCTAGGCGCGCCGCCGTTGTCTGAACTGTCGGAAGGCGCCGGACTTGGGCAAATCGACGATTTCTATCAAGAAGGACAGACACAGTTGTCTGATGCTATCGCGACCGCAGAAACCGCCAATTCCTTGCAAGAAGACGCCCTGCTGCCGCCGCTGCCGCCGCTGATGGCCTTGTCAGGCGTTGAGGAAGTCATAGAGACTGCAGAATCGGCGCCAGAGCCCGTCATTCCATCGCCGCCGCCCTCGGGGCTGTACGACTCTTTTGACGAGCTTTTGGCCTTCCTGCAGACGTTCCATCGCGACAACGGCGCGGCTATCAAGATTCTGAAGAGCGCAAACCCTCGCGAGGTCTATGGCGAGAGGAAATACACATACTATGTCCTTGCCTGCGATCGCGCCGGCTCTCAAACGTCCACAAGCACAGGAATCCGAAGATCCTCGACTCAGCGGCTCGACTGCCCGTTCAAAGTCATAGCATCAGCGACGAAGCGTTCCGGCTAGAAGTGGTCGTATCGCGTTGACTGCCCCGAGCACAACCACCCGCCGTCTCTCGACCCGTCAGCACACATAATGCATCGCCGGCGTACCCTAGCCCAGCAGCAACAAGCGCGAGATTTGACCAAGCACCGGGCCCTTCCTGCGCGCGAGATGTTAGAGATCATGAGAGACTCTAGCGGCGCCGAACCTACGTTCTTTCGTCAGTCAGACATCTATAACGACAGACAGAAGATCAGGATCGAAGGACTCAACGGCTTGTCAGCCACCCAGGCCTGGATTAAGCAGCTTCAAGATAACAACCTTCGTCACTGGATCAAGATTGACGATGACAACAAGGTCGAGGGCGTCCTGTGGACTTACCCTTGGCCAGAGAAGATGTGGCGCCAGTTTCCTGAAGTCCTAGGACTTGACAACACGTACAAAACGAACCGTTTTCACATGTATCTTTTCGAGGTCATAGGCATCACGGACCAGAAGTCGGTAGCCAACTTCGCGTTTGGCCTCATCAACACAGAGAAGGAAGACGGCTTCCTATGGCTTTGTCAACAGCTTGAGGACCTTCGTCAAGACCTTCATGTGCCGGCACCGACCGTGGTGATCACAGACAAGGAGACCGCCCTCAAAAATGCCCTCACGGCGACCTTCCCGGGTGCGCAGCAACAGCTGTGTGTCTATCACATCAACGCGAAGGTGAGGGCAAGAATCCGGTCAAGATGGAAGGCCGAAGACGGCAGAAGCGACGACGAGGTTGACGAGGCTGGCGACAATGAGGCCGAGGTCGCTGACGGCGATGGCGACCTCGTCGCCCGCGCTGCTGAACAAGAGGTCGCCGAGCATGGCTGTGCGGCCTTGCTGCCTGCCGCCGACCCTTTGACTCGCGATGGAATGCTCCGTGCGTGGCAACAAGTCGTGTACGCCGAAGACGAGGCTGATTTCCAGTCAGCATGGAACAAGATGAAGGCTATATACAATCCAACGCAGAACCACATCCTACGCTATATCTCGAAGGAATACATGCCGTACCGCGAGCAGTGGGCGCGCTGCTTTATCAAGCGATACCGCAACTTCGGTCAACGAGTTAATAGTCCTGTGGAAACGGCACACAAGGACGTGAAGTCCTTCCTCATCACGGGCACAAGCGACCTCCTCCACCTCCACAACGCGATCTCCCTGATGCTGCAGAAAAAGGAGAGAGACTACAACGAGAAGGCCGCGGCGATGCAAATGCGGCAGCGCCAACGCTTCATCCAGCAGCAAGGGTGGCTAGGGAACATCCCCATGACAGTCTCCTACGTCGCCGTCGATCTCCTTGCCCAACAGCACCGGCTAGCCGTGGCCGCGATGCCCTCAAGCCGTGGCCTGATGCCTGAGCCGCTGAGGCCTTGCACCGGCAGCTTCATGCAGCAGTACGCGCTTCCTTGCAGCCACATGATCTTCAAGAAGCTGGACGACGGCGAGGCCCTCAGCAAGGAAGATGTCCACCCGCGATGGTGGCTGGCCAAGCCTCTGGTACGATTTCCTATGATTTTCTATGGAAAAGCTACTAACTGCTTGGTCCCAGGACATTGACGAGCCCTTACTCCGACTCCGCGATCCTGACGTGGTCCAAAGCCTCCGTGGCCGGCCTCGCCTGCCAAATAACGAGAAGATGACGGTGCCGTCATCCCTGAGGGCTGACGACGGCCAAGATGAAGCCCAGCAGCAGGAGACGGCGCAGTCAACGCAGCAGCAGCGGCGACGGCAGCCAAAGCAGACTTCGCAGTCACATCGCCGTGAGCGCCGTGCGAAGCCAAGCGCGCGTCGCGATCTATCACAATTTGAGGTTGAAGGCTCGCAAAGGTCATCACAAAGGTCGTCCCGGAGCCGCGGTCGCGGCCGCACCCGGGCAGCTTCGTCGCCGTCGACAAGGAGTTCGCAGTCACGCGTAAATTCGCAGTCTACGAGAACTGCAAGAGGACGATCGAGGAGGTCAGCGATAGCCTCTTCTACGGCGAGGCTGGCCGCGATAGCTGCAGCCGCCTTTGAGACCGACCCCGAGACCGACCCCGAGACCGAGTCTGAGGCTGAGGACGTGATTGAGGTCATCCCGGCCACCCAACCCGGCGCTGACGAGCCGGATGGACTAGCCGGCCCGTGAGAAGTGTTGACGTTGAATTAGAAGGGCCGGAAATGCGTTTTTTGAAGAATTGGCACCGATTGATAGTCGATAGACCTTATAGCGTGTGATTTTGTATGAAGATATCCTTTCCCAGTGTCTTACAGTGTATTTTGGTGTGTGGGTGTGGCAATTGCGATTTTGGGGGGTAAATCTAGCTATTAATGTGGACCTTTACTGTCCAAATAGAAGAAAACTACTGTTCAAATAGGAACACTCAAAAAAAAAACACTTAAAGGGGCGCTCGTAAGGGAATTTAATGGTGAGCGCGGGATGGGGACCTTCGATGTAGGTTGGAGGGTTACTCGACCTATATTTATGATCTACCTTGGTACCTACCTTAGCTCAACTCCTAATGCAACTGAATCGTAACATCGTTCTCTCGGTGAGCTCGGGATTATTCCTTGCATTTGCCTCTGGCTGACGGCCAATAACTTTCTACCAAGCTCACCTCGCAATGGTACTTTGTTGCTTGGCTGTCTGGGCAAACTCAATCCGACCAAGTGTGAGCTTGTTGGAATTTGTCCAACCCCCACGTTCGCCGTTGGGAGCCAATTGTTCCAGAACGTGTGCCGATTTTACTATGGAAAATTGATAAGCAAAAGTGATAAGCGAAATTGATAGTTATCTGCAATGAATGGATGGAATGGAATTTATTTCGCCCGGAGGCACTGGGCCTAGAGGAGGCCTTAGCACGCTAACTACATCCGGATCAAATCGGTTTGCCTTTAACTCGTACAAGTCCCCTACTTCTTCCCTCTTTCTCGCTGCACCATTTACCTCTTGGTTATCTGCAATTGGTTCGTGAGCACGCTGCAGCGCGAAATCGGTCACGTGTCTCATTCGCGTGACCAAACCTCATCCACGTGTATGGAGGAGATATTGTACGAGTTAAAGGCAAACCCGATTTGATCCGGATGTAGTTAGCGTGCTAAGGCCCTATCAGGCCCAGTGCCTCCGGGCGAAATAAATTCCATCCATCCATCCTCGCAATTCGCTCGGCCATCGCGAACATCGCCGTTCCCGCCATTTGCACGTCTGCTGCTTTTCAATTCCGGGCTTTTCTATGGAAGACGTGATAGTCGTTCTGGGCGGCACTGCCGCGACGGTTGCGGAGACAGCTGTGGCACGGAAGACATGTACCAAATGCAATACCGAGCAGAACATCGACCAGTTTCTCCATGCCCCCGGGAACGGAAGGATTGTTCTCAACTGTCTAAGTTGCCGGCACAAGAACAGGCTTCATGTGATATCCCTAGTTACGATTTTTTTTTCTTCAGCTAACCTATCGCAGGTTCAAGCGTCACGAGCGAGTATTGAGATTTCTCGCGCAATCGCCCGCGGAGAAAATCTCCCCCTTCCTTTCGCACCGGCGCTTGCACCTGGAGTTCGACGAAACGTTACACACGGCGTCCTTGCCACGATGTATCACGAAAGGGGTCGCGTTCCTACAGATACCCCAGAAATGGCAGCCGCACGGGATCAACGATTGACAATCGAGAGACGCCACCGCGTGGAGCGACGCCATGGCGTGCTGTCACGGCACCAAGCCTGACCTGCTTGGGTCACGTGGGCAGCACGTGCCCACGCGACCTGGACCCACACTAGCAGCAGGATCTCCTCTCCGTTAGCGTCCCCTTGCGAGAGCTTCCTCTCTCCTCATCGCACAACTCAGTCATTAGCCAGAACCTGACCCTGTCCCGCGACTCCCCTGACCTCGCCCCGTGACACGTGCAGCCTTCACAAACACCGACGTTAAGCGGCTTGATTCGACAACAGCAGCTCAATGCTCAGGACGAGGTGCCTACGACCAGCCGAGCCAATTTGCTACCCGTGCAAGCAGCTGAGGGAGATGGTTTGGGTGGTGACGCGGATGACTTGCGACACACACCACCACAGTCCCGTGGCGGCGGACGCCCTCCTAAACGCTATTTTCCTCCGTCTATATCTTCAGCTCAGTCTCGCGGACGCCCTCGCGGACGCCCTCGGCTGGCACGCAATCCTGTTGGCCGCCCACCTACGCAACATCTTCCCCAAGAAAACCCTCCACGAGATTTGAACGAACCTGCGGCTGGGTCTCGCGGACGCCCTCGCGGACGTCCTCGGCTAGCACACAATCCCATCGGCCGCCCACGCATGCAAACGCTCCACGAAGGAAACCTTCCGCGCGAATTTAACGAATCCGGTCCGCGGTTTACAGGCGACGATCAGGAGACGCCGCTGTTAGCCGAAGACATTGCGATCAAGAGGGAGTTCGACGAAACGCTTGCCGCAAAGGAGATGCAACGATGCCTGCGTTGCAAGGAGCGCTGGTTTGACATCAAGCTCATGGCGGACGGCGTTTGTAAGCGCTGCCACGACGAGGATGACAAGAAACGGCAGGAGGAACCTTTTTTTTTTTCTCCGCAGAGAACAAGCTTGATTTTGGCCCGGTCTCACCACAGTTGCCCCAACTAGAGCCGTTGGAGGAGCTTTTCATTGCGCGTGTGCACGTCAGCGTCAATGTATTCACTATATGCGATGTTTCCTGCGAGAGAGTCTACTTACTAACTAGCACCAGGTTCGTGGGCAGCAATACAAGTATCGTGGTCATATTGTACACTTCCTGCGCGACGTGGGCAAGGTGTATTCCGAGCTTCCCTTATTGCCCAAGGATTTGGACATTGTTATCCTCCGCCCACGTGGATCTGAGAATGTTGAACAGATGGACCGACAATTCCGCAACCGCTTCCGAGTCCGTCGAGCAGCAGTCGAGACATGGCTCAGATTCCTCGCCGACAACCACCCTGGCTATAGGAATTTCACCTGGAACTACGACAACCTCTCCCAGTTGCCAGAGGACGGCAACGTCATTGATCAGCTGAATATCCACGAGGTCGAGGAGTGTGAAGGTTTGCCTGCAGATTCTGGCCTTGTTGAAGAACCGGAAGAGGACGGAGAGGTTGTTGACGAAGCTGCGGTGCCCAATATGCTAGTCCACGACTCAGAATTGAACCAGCTGCAAGAGCGAGTCGACGGTGGGGCTGCCGAAGTCAATGCCGCCAATGAGCAAGTGCCCCTACAGCCCGTTGAGCCTCAGGCTGCTCATCAGCTGAAGATGCCTTCCATCCGACGTACTCCTGTCGACGAGTTCAACCAAACGCATGCGCTGCTCTCACTAGCTTGCCCGACCATGTTTCCTCGAGGGGTTGCGGACTTCGTTGAACCTAGACAGCGCAAGATCTCCTACCAGGATTACATCCAGCATGCCATGAAGTGGGAAGATGGCCGATTCGCTAAACATCACAGCTTCCGATTCATCGCGCTAAACACTCTGATGAGGCAGCAGGCAAGGGGTCACAGTCGATTCTACGTCAGCAAGAATCACCGCACACCTCTTACGAAGGAAGCCCTTCAGGAGGCGCTTGCCGACCCAGACAGACCGGAAGCTCAGGCCATTCTGAATCGGATTTCTCGTTTTGCTGGTGTCATCAAAAGTACACGTCCCTTTTGGTACCGTCGACGTCGCGAGTGCGAGTCTTTTGCGCACTACCTGGGTGTCCCCTCTACTTTCATCACACTGAGCCCAGCTGATCTGCATTGGCAAAGCCTCTACCAGCACATGCCCGAATACGAGGAGTGGAAGGTCCTTGATGAGCAGAAACGCATGGCCAAGTCCGAGAGGTTGCCGAGGTCATCAAGAGGCCTGGAAAGGGCTGGTGGTCGTTCGAAGCCGAGCGCAACGATACCCACCTGAACCAGTACAATCCACTCGTGTCTCTCTGCTGGTTGGCCAATACAGACTGCTCGCCCTGCACGAGTGTGGAGGCTGTCATCAACTACGCTGCGAGATACTGCAGCAAGTCTGAGGCCCAGACCAGCACATATGCGCAGATTGCACAGAACATCCTGCCCCACATATCAGACAACAACCCGATGGTTTCGTTCGTGTCGAAATTGATGAACAAACTAATTAGGGAGAGGGACTACTCTGCGCAGGAGATCTGCCATATCCTCCTGGGACTCCCTCTCCAAGAGGATAGCCGAGTGGTCCAGAGTGTTGACTGTAGACCCCGCGAGAGGCATGCTCGCCTAATCGACATCACGGCTGATGGCGATATCCAGGAGTCTTAGACAGCACACGAGAAGTATCTTCGGCGGCCTGGCTCAATGGATGACGTCTCCTACTTCGAGTTCCTGTAAGACTGGAACTTCAAGGCGCGGAATCCGGCGAGGTGGGCGATCTGACAGCCTCCTGCAATGCCCAGGGTGTTGTATTATTACCCCCGATACAAGCCGGTCCGTTCCCATCAGCAGTACTCTGACTTCTGCCGCGTCAAGCCGCTCCTGAACCACCCCCATCGCCAGTCCGAACAGTTGCTCGAGGTTGATGATCTGCAGTTTGACAACTACACTTCCGCATATCAATACTGCCTCGAGCATTACGACCACCAGGACGACCACTACGGTACTGTCGACGAGCCCGATATGTTGCCGGAAGAGGATGAATTCGAGCGAGGGGAGGATGCTGGGGACATCACCCTTGAGGATTGGCAGGAGGTGGCCCGGCTGGTCCCCGACCTCCAACTTCCCGAAGAACCAGCCGACTTGCTTGGACGCCGAGACATTGATGCCGACACATTGGTCGCTACTGGCACGATCAGTTTGGTACCGGAGGTTACTGGGTGCAACTCCGTGGAGACGCTCCAGGTAATTACGACGTGGAAAAGATGCCTCTCGCAGCCCGTGACACGTTGAACATGCAGCAGCGGCAGGTATACGACACGGTCATGCGCCACTTCAGAGCCAAAAACGAGAACCATCAGCCTCCGCCCCTTCGTCTACAGATTGACGGAGGAGGTGGGACTGGAAAGTCGTACATGGTGAAGGTGCTCTCTTCTCATCTTCAGGTCGAGGCAGCTTCCTATGGCCGAGTTTCCCCATTGTCAGGGCGGCCCCGACGGGCGTGGCGAGCAACCAGATCGGGGGACAGACTCTGCATTCCCTACTGCGGCTCCCCTCGACGGAAATTACCGCTCGCTCTCCGAGACTCCGACGACCCTGAACGCCCTGCAGCGGCGGTTCAGGGGCATCCACTACCTCGTGATCGACGAGAAGAGCATGCTGGGCCTTAAAACCCTCGCGTGGATCGATCAGCGCCTACGAGAGGTGTGTAAGCACGAGGGTGTGGGTGCGGAGAAGGCTGAGTCCTCAAATGCCGGCAACTTGGCCAAGCGCTTGCCCTTGTGTGTTGGTTGCAGGGTGATGCTAACGCGGAACTTGTGGGCGGACGTCGGGCTCGTCAACGGTGCGCAAGGCACAGTCTACGACATATCCTGGAAAGAAGGTGCTGACGTACTGCGAGACCCGCCCGAGGTCATCATGGTGGCCTTCGACGACTACGACGGCCCCGCCTTCACGATGCCGAACGGGGAGCCGCTCCGCAGTGGAGAGAAGCTGGTTGTTCCCATCCTCCGAGTGCGGCAGGACTTCATGGTCGGCGCCAACTCATGTTCAAGAGAGCAGTTCCCGCTGTTGGTCAGTTATGCGATCACCGTCCACAAGTCACAGGGCATCACTCTCGACAAGGTTGTCTGCGATATCTCTGCGCCGGAGTTCGCTTCTGGTCTCTCCTACGTGGCCGTTTCCCGGGTGAAGACACTGGGTGGGCTAATGTTTGAGAAGCCCTTCGACCACAACAGGATCTATCGCGAGACACCATCACGAGCTATGGGGTTGAAATTGTCCGATCACGCTATCAGGCAACTGCAGGCGTTAGATGCTGTGGCGGGGAAGGATCCCTCAGAGGAGTCAATAGGTATATAAGTAGCGACGACGAGAGTGTAGATGTATCAGCGCTTGGAACGATAATAGAAATAATTGGTATAGGTGGGATAAGAAGCTCGAGTGAATGGAGTTGTTGGCCGACGGACAGATATTGGGGCTTCGTCTCTCCCGTATTCAACCCTAACCCGGATTGTCTTCCGGAGAGGGACAGGAAAATTGCCAGGAGCGGGAGAGAGGAAGGAAGCGCCCCGTAGCGTAGCGAAGGGCCGTGCGACTGACGAACGAAGCGACGGCAGCAATTTTATATAGCGTTGAAGATGATGGGTGGGTTTAGACGCCAAGACTTACAAAGTGGCCCAAAGGGTGGGTGGCCCAAAGGGGGGGTACTCGACTTATTCCTTGTAAAGAGGCCTGGGTGATATCTCTCAAGTCAGCACCAAAAATGGAGCCTTCCGGGTTCAGTGTGTCACGTGTGTAGGCGGGCATGTATGGAGGAGTCTCCAGCTGCAAAGCATCAGAAACACCGTGCTCTCGCCGAGGGGTGGAACGGGTTTGAAGAAACCTGGCAGTAAGGCAGGTAAGGTTATAGACCCTATATAGGCACCTACAATCGACTCGTCCCTCGGGAGCCTGCAAATTTGAACACAGCGTCCCTTGTTGTTACCGTTCATCAAAACCACCGACCCGATGACTAACGGACGGAAAAGTTCCGGCGTCCTCCAGGTCGCAACACGGATCTCCGGGTCTCGCTCATCAGGCAGCATCGCCTCAGGCTCCGTTCATCATGGAAGAACCAACTGTTAACCCCCTTGCACGAAGCGCAACTGTCATTGGTCAACTGCGGTTTTGATCACACCATCTTGGTCGCACGAAAATGGCACAAGCAGCAGAAAGGACAGTGTGATAGAAGCAGTCTACACACGGTCTGCTGGTAACAAACTTCTCTTGCGTGGCAGACTTGCAACTTGATCAAGCCCCCAACACTGGATTACATTTCCTTTGAGACATGCATAGGGCTCCCAAATGCGCCTCGTGGCTCAAATGATCCCAGCGCGGCACTCACAAACGATGTTAAGCGCGCGGCACGCGACCAACCGCAAGGCCAAAGCCTGTTGCCAGCCTGAGAGTGAAGGAAACATACAGTATGTCTTCCAATTTGTGCACTGGGCGAAATGCGGCTGGAGAAGATTGAATGCCACTTTGCCACCCCATCGCGAAATCGCATTCTCCCGGGACAAGCCGTGTTGGTTGAAGCTGCGAATTGTGTTGTTGCGTGGGAGACGCTGAGTGGCCGGATAGGCAACAACACGGCGCGTAGAGTTCCGGGCTGTCGGGACAATCACCACCTTACAAGCACTTCACCTCAGCTCTGCGGTGTCGTCGGATGAGGGGTTCAAACAGGGACCTCTGAAGGCAAACCTGCACAAGAGGTACCGGGCGAAGGCCAACTAGGTAGACTCTTAGATTTTAACATTGCCAATTTGTGGTAAGTTACTTGATTAACTGATTACTTCGGTACCTGGCGTCGTAGATTGCATGTCGAGCCTGCTCAATGCTGTATCCCGGAGAGTGCTGCGAATGTTGGGTCAAGTCTCGCAGACCGCTAAATCGATGGCCGTCGAGCTTGTCTGGTCAGGTTTGGGCGGCGTTCTGCACAGTATCCGGACGGCTTGTTCGAGCAGCTGCTTCGCCTGCTGACCAGTGAAATTGAGTGGCTTACCCTCGGCGGCTAGGATTCCCGTTCGATTCGGCCCCCTTGGCCGTTCCCTCTGTCTCAACAGTAGGCTTTCGAGCTTGTAGCGAACTGTAGTTGTGATTGCTAACTGGAGAACTCCCAGAGCTCTCCAGCACGGGTGACTATATACTATCTAGGCTTCCTAGGTACCGGCGTACCTTTTGCTGGGAACGTGAGGAACGGTGATCGTTCCTCTCGTTCCAGACTGGATCCTGGGAACGGTTACGGAAGCCGATAGGGAAGAAACGAACATAACCATTTGAGGATTAGCGCACTCGTTGCGTTAACGCCCGGTGCACTGTATCATACAATGCTTTACAGGCATTTCGCTTCCGGTTAATGCAAGTTTTCAGTAATAGAGAGCATTGCATTTAACCTCTACTTTAGCCACACAGCACAGCCATACCCACAAGCCATGCATTCTGGGAGAGGCCCTCGACGAATTTTTTTTTGACTCGCCTTTACATATGTAGGGAATACCAGGTATCGCGATAGCGTTAGAAGCACAGGGCAAATCCCTTCTCTCTGGAGGGACGTGCTACATTCGTGGTTCAATTGGATCATGTTCTTCTAACTATCTAGAAATGAGGGGGGCGCAGATTTTGCAGCCGGGGTTGTCGTCCCCGAGGTCTAGGACCACGTGACGACTGCCCCAGCGGTGGATCCCCCTCTGCCCTCCGTCACGTCGTGCAGCGAGAAAGAGGGAAGAAGTAGGGGGCTTGTACGAGTTAAAGGCAAAACGATTTGATCCGGATGTACATAGTTAGCGTGCTAAGGCCCTATAGGCCCAGTGCCTCCGGGCGAAATAAATTCCATCCATCCATCCATCCGTCACGTCCCCCTGCGAGGACGTAACTCTGGCGTAGATGTTCCGACAACATATTACATAACGCGTTCGAACAAACAAGTAGTTAGTTAACTACGACGAAAGCCATGACCAACACCCGTTCTGCCGACGACGGCGACGAACTCGGCTGTCCAGTGGACCACAGCAAGTTTCAGCGTCAAAACCTCAGTTCTCGCGTTTGCCCGGTCTGCGAAGCGCCGCTTCCGACACTCCAATTGCAACGAAGACCAGTCCTGGCCACGCGAGGTTCAACTCCGGACGTCATTGATTTGACAAGCTCTCCGGAACGCCAGCGTACAAAGTCGCACACCGCTGTACAGCATTTGCAACTCTTCGTCTCCGGCCAGAATGTCGCACGTACCAATACGACAGATGGCGCAGCCTCGGCTCAGACCAACCGCAGCGGAACCCCTAGTCTTAGCTTTGTTGAAGCAGCAGAGGCTAGTCTCCGCGAGCGTGACCGCAGTGCCCGTCACGTACGAAATGCTGATACTTCACCACGGCTCTCGATTGCAATCACGACGGTCCTCTACATTGGCCAGTACACTACTACTGATGTAGAGGATGACATGGGCTTCTTGAAGTTCTCTGTTATTGGCATGAAGGCCAAGCTTGAGTACCGCGTAGGATGAGTTGTTAGGGCCCTGAGGACGCTCCTTGACTTCTAACAAACGAGCGAGGTACTTGATCTAACGAGGATTAGCGCGACGTCGTGTTGAGTACCAGAGGGAGAACATACCCCGCCGTCAGAACGCAATATAGACCAAAGCATGCTCTCGTCTGGACCAGAGCGAGCGAGGTTGTTCATAATGTACGCAGTATACATCAGCGGGTCGTGAGAGGGCGGTGCTGATTCTATAACCGCCGCGACAGGGAGGATCTGCCCACCAAGTACCCATGCATACTCATTCTTTGGCATAATCGTTCCGGCCAGCTGGCGGCTAGAATAACCAACAGGGGCTATAGGGTCCTCGAACTCGTCGGGATCCGAGTTGGCGTCCGCATTTTGGAGAGAACGACGCGTCGGTGCGTTGTTAGACTCGTCCAGGTTATTGTTCTGCTGAGTACGAGCTATGGGCTGACCAGAATTGGACTTAGCGGGCGTATAGGGGGGAACGCTTCCAGTACGCGAACCAGCAGGGATGGTGCTTAGGAGACTCCCGCCTGGAACGGCAGTACTAGCAGCTATGTTGGCTAGGGTGCGGAAGAGCTCGGCCATCTGCTCCTGGGTGTGACGGCAGCTGCCGCCGGAGTGCACTGTGGCTCCACTTGGTTGGGCACGTGACCACACGCGCTGGCATTTAACTCCTGTATCGCGAGAGCTCTTCCAGCTTCTCTTCCTTTTCTCCCCATCTTGCAATTAGCAGAAATAGAGTCTCATCGGCAGTGCCCTCGCGCCTCGCCCAAATGTCCCTCGTCTCTCACACTGGGGAATCTGTGCAAACCGCTCAAAGTCATCGTTCTGCGACGTAAAGAGTTGCATGATGCTAGCCAGACGATTATTCGTCGCGTTGATGGAGGTTGCAGGAATGGAACTAGTGAAAACGGGAGTGCCAGTTCTGTTCTCCGCTGTGCCGACAGCCGCCGAGGCGGAGTCGTTTTCCTCCGTCGTCGCGGGGACATTGACCGGCAGAACCTCGGGATCGTCCGCAATGGGCGGAACGCCTGCAGTCTGGTTACCACCAGAACCAGGCATCTTGCATTCACCAGTGCTGTGCTTATGCTGCAGTGCCTTGCGATTGGGAAGGTCTTGGCTGTACTGCTGCGACAGAAAAAACATGTTAGCATTAGCACTCAGGGCGTGAAACTCATCCAAATCCATAGTTGGAGGGCCATGTGGTGGTAGGGGAAACGGAGTGGAAAGGTTTTTTTGTGGCGGTGCAGCTGGATATGCAATGCATGGAATTGATTGCCTCGCTTTGATGAGTCAGATCCTTGCGAGAATCTAAGATGTAATAATGGAGGCTACGCTAGTGGTATTCTAAATACACGGAGGGGTCAGCTAATTAAAAAACACAAAATGCCCGAGTGCTCAAGTGGTTATGTTCGTTTCTTCCCTATCGGCTTCCGTAAACGGTCGCCGTTCCCTTCGTTCCTCTGCTGATTGGTCTGAGGCCCATTCTTAATGATTGGCTGGGAACGCTTCCCGCGCGTGCCCCCATCGGGGCGTGGTACGCGACCATAACCGTGACACTCTATCAACGAATCGCAGCTTTGCAACGGACTGAGCGCGAGATGCTGGCTGAGAACCAAGATTTAACACGCCGGCTTTCAGCGGTCAAACAACACCACGAACGCAGAGCGCGTCAGTGGAACGAAGGTATTCGCCGCAAAGAAACCGAGTACGAAGCTCGAATGCGAGAGTTAGGCGAGCAGCTGTTGGACCTTGCTAGCCGGAACCCGCAAAAGCTCCCACATATCCTTTCCAATGACCAGATTTCGGCGTGGTTCAATGAACAAGACTTGTGCTGGAACCGATGGGCGACAACCTTTGGTCATCAGGATGGGAATCGACTCGGTGGCAGTCTCCATCCACTGCAGCTGCAAGAGTTGTGTGGCGACGTCAGGGGATTCGTTCGTATGACCGACGCGGGCGGCCTTCCAGCAGAGCTCATCGACGGTGGCAAAGAAGCTGTGCACACCCTTCTAAACGGCATGCTGGCGCACTTCATCTGCGCTGAAATTATCGCGTCGCCGATGTGGGTGTTTGTCGCCGCATCCCTCGGGACTCTGGAAAGCCCTGGTATCGTTCCATCCAAACCTGTCCCGGGTCTGCCGGGCTTTCGCATGGACATGAATAGCTTTGGCGACGTCGCACCCCTCCGAACCGAGCCATTCCAAACCCCGCGGAGCCCCCAGTTCCCCCCGCCCCTGATCACTTCCATGATGCCATCTCTTGGCACCAGCGCCTCATTTCTTGGTCTGCCTCTGAAGGCGGATATGGAACGACTTGTGCACATGCTCACAGATGGTTAGTTGGACTCATGAAAAATCTTCACACATGTTCTTTGCTAACACGCCTTGATAGCTCAGGATGACGACGCCAGAGTGACTGCGCATCACTGGAGGGCTCAGATGATGCGGCTGTTTGCCGACGGAGGCTTCAGTATCAAGGATGTTGCCGCTGCGGGCCGGAACGAGTCTCGCCGGACATTTGTGGAATCACGTCTGAACTATGCACGGAAGCTGAAAGAACGTTTTCTGGGTGGCTCTGCGCGGTTTTTACTCCAGGACCAAGACGCAGGCGGTATCGAGAAGCTCGAGGGTATGCTGACGGATATCATCGACGACGCCTTAAGATTCTCAAGCAGATTATGGACACGGATGGCACCCGTACGTTTGCACGGATGGAGAGATTTGGGAAGCAAGGAGGTCAGGGCCACAACCCCCCTTGTCACCCTCTGTCATGCCCAGGTCGAAGTCGAATCTCACAACCACCGTACCGAGGCTTCCAAAGAAAAGCCAGCTGGCTCGTCACAGCAGGACAGCCAAACCGACCACCCAATGGTGATGGCCGTGCAACCGGCAGTAATCACGGACAGCATCAACCTCCCAGTCGCCAGCGGCGAAACCAAAGACGACGGCATGGCCTTGGTCTGGCTGAAAGCACGGGTCATGGTTGCAGGCCCAATGTCAGTGGAAGCCCAAGAGTCGTCCGATGCAGTGCGCCAGACTTCAACACGACTGAACAAAGGGCGGACGGATGAGCCCGCGATCACGTCGCCGAGTTTGGAAAAAACAGTACATACCCCTCGCACTCCTGAGGCATTCGAAGTGTTGCCCGCTGCATCGTTTCAGGCGTCGGCAGAACCAAAGGGGTAGACGCACGGATTATGGCGTTGGCCTACCTCCGATCGAAAGTTCAAAACGGCGCTTGGGTGAAGGTAACACTTGTTGAACAGATACGATCATTGTTTTTCTTTGCACACGACAGGCGGTGTCTGGCTCTACACTTGGTTTATGGGCTGTGATTTTGTGGGATCGTCGGACGACCATGTGGTCACGGTATTTATGAAAGGAATGAAAGCAATTTCATACTTTTTTCCGAATCATTTGTTGATAACTATCCCTGATTTCCTATCCTAACGCGACATCTCTGGTGTTCAAGGTGGATCCTGCACAACATAGAAACGGAAGAACTTGTGATACAAGGTTTTGTGAGAAGTGAGAAAAAATAGCCCGATGCGCGTGGAGCAAGCACACGAGCAGAGAAATCACCCGGGAGCCACGGCGGACGGGCTTCGAACCGTCAATCTCGCCCCAGATCGCTATTACCGCGGCTACGCCACGGCGCGACCTTGGGGGCTTAATTGACTGTCTTCGCTCGGTAACTAAGGTCTTTTCGCACCAATGGTGATGGTAACGCTTTCTTGGTGTTTTGAATAATACACACACACACACACACACACACACAATTTATTCCGCCCGGCGGGCCTAACCCGAAAGGGCAACTATCATGCAATCTACTAATACATATCCTAAAATGGATCCTGGTCTCATGAAGCCCGTACATCCTCCTTTTCTGGCTTAACTCCTTACAATCTTGCCCTCTCTGCTGCGGGTGCTCGTGGGTTAGTAGTACGAAAAGTAAGCTGGCTTGAAGGCTAGTCTCCAAGTGTCCAACGTCCTATCTTCGGCGGCTGAAGCGCGCTTACTCGGTGTGGCACGAGATGAAGGAGGGGTGTTAGTCGGGGTTTAGGATGGTGAGGTTAGTTTGCTTCATTCTGTTGTTGTTCTGTCCTCAGACGACCTGTGGTAATGGCAAAACGTATCGTCGCCCGCACGGCCCGCATGTTGGGGGACCAGTCCTTGTCATCCGAGGGCGACTTTCCTCCCAGGTAGAAGGAGAGGTTCCCCCTGTGGACATCCGTACATTGCAGCATCTCCTTACGGTGTTGATCCCATTGCTTGCATCGGAAGAGGAAGTGGTCCACTGTCTCTCTGGCTTGTCCACACGTACACTGATCTGACGGTGCTGCTTTGATGCGATGCAGGTATGTGTTGAGCTTGGCCATGCCTGTTCTAAGCTGAGCAAGCACGCCGGCCTCGCTTCGGGACAGGTGGTCGTATAATAGTTGTGTGCTTCCCTGGTAACGCTATATCGACTCTCTTGGAATGTCTGTCCACTTTGTCAGGTAAGGACGTGGGCGGTGCCCGCTTTGCCCATGCGATACGGAGGGCTGTTGACCGCATGGCAGGATCCCGCGTTTGTGGTGTAGCGTCCTGCCGTGTTGCTTCCTTTGCTTTCGCTTTGGCTGTGTTCAGGAGCTCGTTTTTGGTACCCGCTTGGATCCAGACGACCGAGATCGTGTTTCCCGCCTTGCGTAAGGCACTTATCGCATCGTACGCCTGACAGATATATTGTTGGCCGGATGCTCCAAGGCCATCACAGCCGCCTTGTTGCTCGTGGCAAGGATGGTCTTGCGGTACCTGATATTGTGAATCCACCTCAACGCGTACCCAATAGCCGCAAGCTCGCCTGAGAACGGGTTCTGCTCCGACCTGGAGCCCAGCGCTATAGTGAAGGCTTCGTTCCTTGAGCCATCTCGTGCCGACAGCGGGAGACGGACAGCTCCTCCGATCCCTACCATGTTGTTTCGTGCGGAGCTGCTTACGGCGATCCCGACTGCCCACTCTGTCTCTTTTTGCTGGATGCCTGTTCCGTCAACCGTAGTGCGGACTCGCCTCTCCCACGGCGCTAATACGACTGGAGCGATGGTTTCGAGGCTGTCCAATGGGACGTCCTTGAGGAGGTCTGCTACCTGAAAGAAAGGCGAGCGGTAGGATCTCCGGAACTTGCGCATCCGGGAAGTGGTGTTGCGGAGTGGATTCGTCTCTGGTAGGGTGTGAATGTCCGTCCACATCTTGATCGCCATCTTCCAGAATCGATCTTGAGCCGTGGGGATGTGAGCTTCTGCTTCTGCTACGCGTGTTGCTACCGTGCTGAACGTTCCTATGATCCCTTGCGCCGCGACCCTCTGCACCCTGTGTATGGCTGGCGTGGTCTTCCAATTGCATTGGTGCATCCAGACGCTGGAGGCGTAGTCCACCACTGGCGCGACCATGGTAGTGAACAGCTGCCGCGCCGTAGCCGGAGACAGACCACTGAGCCGTTTCAGCTCCATCGCCGCGCTGAGCCCTTTGGAGGCCGCTCTTGCGATATGCTCCTTATACCTGAGCTTGGCATCTATGACTACTCTAAGAATTTTGACGTGGTTTTTCGGCTGAACATCTTGACCCTTAATGGTAAAGGTCTCGGAGTTGGCTTTGTAGGCCTTGCGGGTAAAGTGGATGACGGCCGTCTTGTCTGCTTCAAATGTCGCCCCGCTTCTCTTTTCCCAGTCTAGTGCTTGGTCGATGATTGCTTCAATGCCCTTGCGTGTGCTCTGTGCCGTCGGTCCTGTGACCCAGGTGGTAAAGTCATCGACAAAGGCTATCGCACCACCGTTGCTATCGATCTTTCTCTGGACCAGATCCGCGTTGAAAAAGAGGAACAAGATGGGGGAATAACCCTAATACCTCCAGCGACTCGGCCTGCTTCCATCGGCCTTGGTTCCAAAACGTCGACGCCAGGTTGGTCATGCTGGTCAGCGTGTCGGGATGCTCCTCGCCCAGTACCCTCTTTCTCGTCTCCATCACTTGTACCTCTAGCGACTCGGCCTCCTTCCATCGGCCTTGGTTGCTGTACGTCGACGCCAGGTTGGCCATGCTGGTCAGCGTGTCGGGATGCTCCTCGCCCAGTACCCTCTTTCTCGTCTCCATCACTTGTACCTCCAGCGACTCGGCCTCCTTCCATCGGCCTTGGTTGCTGTACGTCGACGCCAGGTTGCCCATGCTGGTCAGCGTGTCGGGATGCTCCTCGCCCAGTACCCTCTTTCTCGTCTCCATCACTTGTACCTCCAGCGACTCGGCCTCCTTCCATCGGCCTTGGTTGCTGTACGTCGACGCCAGGTTGCCCATGCTGGTCAGCGTGTCGGGATGCTCCTCGCCCAGTACCCTCTTTCTCGTCTCTATCACTTGTACCTCCAGCGACTCGGCCTCCTTCCATCGGCCTTGGTTGCTGTACGTCGACGCCAGGTTGCTCATGCTGGTCAGCGTCGAGGGATGCTCCTCGCCCAGCACCTTCTTTCTCGTCTCCATCACTTGTACCTCCAGCGACTCGGCCTCCTTCCATCGGCCTTGGTTCCAAAACGTCGACGCCAGGTTGCCCATGCTGGTCAGCGTGGAGGGATGCTCCTCGCCCAGCAGCCTCTTTCTCGTCTCCATCACTTGTACCTCCAGCGACTCGGCCTCCTTCCATCGGCCTTGGTTGCTATACGTCGACGCCAGGTTGGCCATGCTGGTCAGCGTGTCGGGATGCTCCTCGCCCAGTACCCTCTTTCTCGTCTCCATCACTTGTACCAACAGCGACTCGGCCTCCTTCCATCGGCCTTGGTTCCTGTACGTCGACGCCAGGTTGGCCATGCTGGTCAGCGTCGAGGGATGCTCCTCGCCCAGTACCCTCTTTCTCGTCTCCATCACTTGTACCTCTAGCGACTCGGCCTCCTTCCATCGGCCTTGGTTGCTGTACGTCGACGCCAGGTTGCCCATGCTGGTCAGCGTCGAGGGATGCTCCTCGCCCAGTACCCTCTTGAACGTCTCCATCACTTGTACCAACAGCGACTCGGCCTCCTTCCATCGGCCTTGGTTCCTGTACGTCGACGCCAGGTTGCCCATGCTGGTCAGCGTGTCGGGATGCTCCTCGCCCAGTACCCTCTTTCTCGTCTCCATCACTTGTACCTCCAGCGACTCGGCCTCCTTCCATCGGCCTTGGTTCCTGTACGTCGACGCCAGGTTGGCCATGGTGGTCAGCGTGGCGGGATGCTCCTCGCCCAGTACCCTCTTTCTCGTCTCCATCACTTGTACCTCCAGCGACTCGGCCTCCTTCCATCGGCCTTGGTTCCTGTATGTCGACGCCAGGTTGGCCATGCTGGTCAGCGTGGAGGGATGCTCCTCGCCCAGCACTTCCCTTCTCAACCTTCTCGCCTGTAACTGGAACTCCTCCGCCTCATTCCATTGACCTTGATAAGAGAAGAATCCGGCTGTACAGTGGAGAAGGGACGCCCTTGCCACCCTCTCATCCTTCGACCCAGTACTTACAAGTCTCAGCACCGCATACGCATGCGGAAGCAATGCGCTACATATCGCCCGGTTTTCATAACCGCCGTATGGGTAGGCCTGCGACACCACCGAGAGCGCCTGTTCCGCGAATCGCCCCATCGTCCCCTGCCTGCCGAGCCACCTTTGCGTGACCAACTGTACAAGGCGGTGTATATCGAACCCACGGTCCTTGTCCTCCACAACAAAACAAAATGCCTTTAGGACGCCTAGCGCCTTCGTGAGCTGTATTTCCCCCCTTTGCTCTCGGCCCTGCTCCTTGCTGTAGTGGGACAGGAATTCCAACGGGATGGCCTGCCGGTCGAAGAGGCTCATGAGCGAGAGAAGCTCGCCCGCAAAGCCATTCTGCCGCTGAATCTGCTCGAACGAGAGAATCCACGTCTCAGCTACCGCACGAGGAGTCTCCGAGGCTCTCGCGTCTATCTCGAATTCCTCGCTGAGCAGATCGACGAGGACCTGATCGCTGCTGTGCAAGAGCTCAAGGTACTTGCCGACAGCTATAGTGTTTTCTTGGATAAACGCGGCTGCTTGGACGAGCGCGAGCGGAAGGTGTTCCAGGCGGGAAGAAAGCGCAGAGGATTCATTGGAAGCAACGCTGATTCCGTCAAGGCGTGCGCGGAGCAGCTGGTCTGTCTCGCCTTCGTCCATCTTCCCGACCTCGATGGGGCGTTTTCCCTTGGTCAGCCTCGAGCCAGCCTGCTTGTTCCTGGTTGTGACAAGAATAGCGCCGTGGGGGCACTCGGGGAGGTATCGTCCAAGGTTTCCCTCGTGGTTAGATAGATTGTCGGGCTCAGATCCCCCCTGCTGGCCGAAGAAGAGCTGCATATCATCGGCATTGTCAAGAACCATCAGCCATCGACTGCGTTCCTTCCTCTCCAGCCAGGCCTTCACCAGCAACAACACGTCTTCCTTTGGGTTGTCGTAGCCCGGCACCTGGCATTCCTGTGCGATAGATGCATATGCTTGCCGGAATCGTTCAGCATTGCTCGCATGGACCCAGAAGACTGAAACCTCTGGGCTCGTCCGTTGGAGCCAGTATGTGTATGCTAGAGCGATTTGCGTTTTTCTGTACTTGTTAGGTACGAGCTTTATATGCAGGCAAGCGGAACTAACCCGACACCGCCGAGGCCGAAGAGCGCGGTCCTTGACTGCAAAGGCAGCCCTAGAAGTTGTTGTTGGAGTTGCTTGAGAATAGATTCCCGCCCAATAAACGTCTTATTCTCAATATAAGGAACAAGAACTTGTATATGGTAAGCACGGCTTTGGCCTAATAGTATGATTATAAGGGTCTACCTACACCAAGGTCCGGCTGGCTGCTCTGGGAGAGGAGATCCTAAGAAACTTAGCGGCTGCGCTCTAGCAGACCTTTTCCAAAACCCCCAGTTGATCATTACGCACCTAGCATTGAAGGTACCCAATGACCCAAGAATGCCTTCATACATGCCGCCGCCGTGGCTGCTGCATACCGCTGCCACACATTGTTCTTGTGGCTATCCGCGTAGTCGCAGGCACCCTTAATGACCACGCAAGGGAAGTTGTCCCAGACACCGGCGCCCTCCATTTCAAAGCCTATAACACCCGCCTCCCGTGCGATGTCGTCACGGTCCTTGCCCGACTTCATGACCGTATCGCCCGACGCAATCAGGCCAAAGTGAACCGCAGGCTGTCCATCGCCCTGCTCGAGGCGGGTACGCGGTACCAACTTGCCGTCACAACCGCACTCCTCGCACGACTTCCCGTCGCTCACATGTCGATACGTCGTCTCAAATAGTCGGTCCTGCGCAGCACCGGGGTACGCGGCCGCCAGCTCCGGCTCGCCCAGGAGCACGTCCATATAGCCGGCCATCTTGCCCTGCAGTATCTTCCGGCTACGGAGGCCCTTGAGCTTGGCGAGCAGCGCGCGGATCTCGGTGTTCGGCCTGCCCGGCGTGTCCAGAAGCGTGTCCTTCATTATGAACTTTTCGGGCAGTCGCCGTCCGAGGTCGTACTGCACGACACCATCGCTGATGATGACGTCGCCTAGCACGGTCTCGGTCATCCCGCCGCTGCCGCCGGGACGAAAGGGAACGACACCGCAAACGCCAACGATGAGGGCCAGCTTGATGTTGGGGAAACTCGCGCGGCAGTTGGCAGCGACGGCCGCGGCGCTGACCTTGCCCATTCCTGGCATGTGTGCGAGGACGACGTTGTGGCGGCCGACGGCGCCGGTGGAGTATGCGTTGGGATCGCTCGCGGCTTTGTCGTAGGGCGGCCCGTCATCGTCCCAGTGTTGGTCGAAGAGGGCGTCGACGGCATCGGCTTCGAGTGGGAGAGCGCAGATGACGGCAATCTCGAACTCGGCCCGCGTAGTTGGGCGCCGCGGCCGGGTTAGGTCCATCGATTATTGCGCCGGAGTCGGCTCCGGAGGGCCGGTTACAATCTTGTTAGTGTCGCTCTAAACTTGGAAATAGCCGTCGGCATGCGAACTCTTACGGTGGGCCTGTATTCGCATTGCGGGTTGTAGCATGGTGAGGGGTTTGCGAAGTTGGGCCCCCGCGTCGCCCTCTCTCTGGACCCCTCCTTTGCAGCCCGACGGCTTGGGAACGGACAATTTTAGCACTAGCCTACCCGGCGCTAACCGGCAAGACTGGGCTGACCCTACGCCTTGCAGCCCAATGGCGACTGCGTGACGCGGCATCTCGCTGACAAGCATGCCATCCCAAAGCGGTCGCGCGACGGCCTCCACCCCTTGGTTCGCCCCCTACTACTACTTACTCCAAGTATCCTGAATCAGACCATGTTAGGCTGATTATGGGGTGGGTCTGGTAGCAGGGGCCCTGGATTGGCTCGGATTAGCTCGGACCACACCAGGCTGAACTGATTACCACTCGCACCACACGAGCTGAACTGATTACCATAGCTTACCCACCCATTATAGTTAGAAGGGAAGCCTTAGCAAGCACACCACCACCACTATCAAGCACACCGCTATTCCTGACTGGGAAAAGCGCGTGTGCCCCACTGCAGCAGGACAAGCTGAATTCTTTGACAGCTGCCAGGTGGGCCAACAGCGCAATTGAATTCTTCCTCAAAGCCATCTTCACAGCAGTGTTACTGCCACAGCATTAACTTTCCGCTTCCAATTAACGGCCTGCTGCCGCCGAGCCTGTCAGGTATGCTTTCAGACCCTGATTCTAATTATCTAGCTAATGATGTTATTCTTAAGCAGAATGGAAGCAGCCGGATGGTCATCGCAAACGCCAGAGCGGCCCTGCGGCCCGCCGCCGCCCGAGAATACCTACGGCACTTTGGAGGAGGCATAGGCAGCCACCCAAGCCCACGCTTCCACCAACGGCTACAGGATGGTCAAGAACGGCACCAAATCTGGCCGAGCGCGCTTCCGCTGTGCCAAGGGTCGTGAGTACAAACCTCAGGCCAATCCCGAGACCCACGAATCCAAGCGCCGCAAGACCAGCACGCAGTTTACTGGCTGCAAGTTCCAGCTTGCCGCCCGGCCTCTCCCTGACGGCAGATGGGCTGTGAAGCTTCCTGACGGCCCAGCAGCGTTGCACAACCACGGCTGGAGCTACCCCACTGCCTTTGCTGGCGCCAGAGCGAGAGACTCGTACGAACCCGGCACAGCGGCACCGCGGGCCTCCGGTCGATTCATCGATGGCCTAGATGCCCTGGATCCCGACATTGAAGATGACCATGATCGGGCGCTAGCGGCAGCCGAAGTAGCTGCCCACGAGGATCAGGAAGATGCCGTTGCTTTGGGGAATTAGCCAGCCGGCGGCAGACGCGGCTGATGCTTTGATGAATCGTTAGCATATTTCAGAACAGCAGAAATACAGCAGAATTGCGTTATCTACGATTTGTTCGGTTGATGCTGTTGTGGTTGCTGCTGGCACTGTGGCGGGCTGCGGCTGGCCTGGCAGCTGTCAAAGGAATTTAGTTTGTACTGCTGCAGTGTGGCATATTCGCTTTTCCCAGTCAGGAATAGCGGTGTGCTTGATACATTACCGCCGCATGCTGATATTGAAAAACCTTGACGGCTTACGCTTTGAGCGAATTTATCCCGGCTTGAGCAAAAAGAGCAGCTCCAGGCGAGTGAGCGGGAGGTTGACGGTACGTTGCCGGCTTAGGGCACCTAATCGGTTTGATCCACAGCCCGCTCCTTCCCTCGAGCTGGTACCCAACCGCTCTTGCCTTCGAGAGCAGTCACTCTACGGCTTAGAGGAAGGAACAGCTTCAACAAATAAGCCGCTTAAGGTCGTAAGCCGAAGAGAGACCCCTCGCTGCTGTGAGCGAATATGTCCCGGCTCGTGGATACCCGCCTTGCACCGCTAAGTAGTGGTGGTGGTGTGCTTGCTAAGGCTTCCCATATAGAAACACAGCAGTTCGACTATTGCTCCCCTAATTTAACCAACCTCGTTTTTTTCCTACTCTATTGCTTTTTTCTCCAAATTACGCTTACCCTCCCCCCAGCCATACCCCTAGCCGCCCTGTCTCGTACGGGACGAACGGTTCAAGTTGGAGAAATTGAAGGCGCCGCCGCTTATTGGTCCAGTGGAGCGGGCGCTCGGGCCACCAAAAGAAGAATGCATTGAGCTACGACGACCACAATACCTGTCTCGTACGGGACGAACGGTTCAAGTTGGAGAAATTGAAGGCGCCGCCGCTTATTGGTCCAGTGGAGCGGGCGCTCGGGCCACCAAAAGAAGAATGCATTGAGCTACGACGACCACAATACCTGTCTCGTACGGGACGAACGGTTCAAGTTGGAGAAATTGAAGGCGCCGCCGCTTATTGGTCCAGTGGAGCGGGCGCTCGGGCCACCAAAAGAAGAATGCATTGAGCTACGACGACCACAATACCTGTCTCGTACGGGACGAACGGTTCAAGTTGGAGAAATTGAAGGCGCCGCCGCTTATTGGTCCAGTGGAGCGGGCGCTCGGGCCACCAAAAGAAGAATGCATTGAGCTACGACGACCACAATACCTTCGACTTAAGACGCTGCTCAAATGCGGCCCACTGGTTGTGCCCCGTGGAACCAACAGCGACGGTCTCGATTCCACTACGCGTTTGTTCCAGGAGTACGCCGTTCGACGAGAAATCGGCCCCGACTTGTTTTCCAGGGTTAGGGTTAAGGATTACAGCCAATTCCGAGATCAGGGGTCAGGGCAGGGGAAGTGTAAGCGCAATTTCGGAGGAAAAAGCATGGGCAAGGGCGGAAATGAGGTTGGTAAGGCTGCAAGAGTCATCGTTTACATCAGGTATTACCGTAAAGCAGACCCGATTATCCGTAGGAAGCCAACAGGAGGAAGAAAACAGCAAGCATGGCATCGTTCGACGAATTATTTATCCAACTACCCACGTTCCAGGCAGCGATTTGTCGCGAGCACCACAGCGCAGTTACGGCCAAGTCGGCGGCGTCGCATATTAATTTGCAGCACCGCCATTTGGTCGCCAGCGTCCGGCAGCGCATCGTGGAGGAGGCGTCGGCGTTGGGGGCCGACGGTGTGCTAGCCGCCGACGCGCAGAGCATCCAGTTCCCCAGCGAGATTATACCCGCTATTGATGGATTACCCGTTTGGCGCGATGGCAAGAAATGCGTACAGTGTGGGTATATCCGGCGTACGAGGTACCATATCCAGGAGCATTGCCGGTCGGAGCACGGGTTGGGCCAACCCGCGGAAACGCGGCGGCAAGCCCGGGGCAAGGCCGGCGGGCGGGTTAGGCGAGGCGTGGGTGGACGGTATACATTGCCAGCGATTGGGCCGGACGGGCGCGCTCCAGCGTTTGTTCGAGGTAACGACTCCGGCCAACGCGGCCGTACGCGGGAGCAGGGGAGAGACAGCCGACTTTGAAGCCGCCATCCGGGCCGAGTTCGAGGCGGCGGCGCGCGCCATCAGGGAGAAGGACGAGGCGGCAGCGGCGCTGATCGGCGACCAGTCGAGGTTGTCGGCCAACATGTGGGTGCGGCGGACGGGGTGGCCGCGGCATTTGCGTGGGTTTGACCGCGAGTGGTTGGCAACGACTATACGGCGGCCCGTGGTGGAGAAGGAGGAAGAAGTAGAGGAGGGGAACGGGGAGGGGGGCGGAGAGGACGGAGAGGATGAAGAGGAGGGGAACGGGGAGGGGGGCGGAGAGGACGGAGAGGATGGAGAGGAGGTTGGAGGGCAGGGTGGGGATAGGGATAGAGATGGCAGCGCCCGCAGCGAAGCCGCGTTGGCCGTCGTATGGTTGGCCGTGGAAAGGGTGATTTGGCGGGCGCAGAAGGCGTCGCAGGT